TTCACGATACCAAAAAAAAGGTTAAGAATCTTTACAATACAACAATAGCGTACAGTAACAGTTTTTCATTTGTTTAATAAACTAAAAAAGCTGAATTTGTGGGGTGAAGCTCTTCGAAAAAAAAATCGATAGAGCTTGATATAAAATGTTGAGAATGTTTTATAATTATTTACCATTTCTCTCTGTCATTTCTTTAATTAATTTTTTAGTTGGATGTAGCTTTTTTAGTTTATCATTAATTAAGTCTAATAATCTCATTGTTTGCATGCATTTCATTCTTTTTGTCTTACTTTATCACGTCGCGATGCTATTTTGGTTATTCATCATTATGGATTTTATTGGCTGTTTTGATCTTAATGAAATAAATCATATAGGAAATCCCTTTGTCTACTTGTAAATATCCTAAGCCATACATCTTTTACGGCATTATTTTTTTCTACATTATAACTCTAAATGGCTAAAAAGAAATCATTGTTGTATGGAAAGAAACAAACTGAGTTGTAGACTAAGAAATTTTATTTGAAAATTGGTGTAATTGTCTTCCAACTTTAAACCGGTTTTCTTTGCCAGTAAAATATTTAGTAATTTTGTTATTTATATATTTTTTGGAAGTTTTTTGGGAACATGGTTTAGGGTATTTCGATTTGCTTTTTAGTCATGAATCTAAACTCTAGATTTTGTCGATTATTTTTGTTGTGAATGAGTTAATTCTGCAGATTTTCGGATTTTTTTTTTATTAAAATATCAACTGCGTATGAATTATTTTAATTATTGAACGCTGATATATTTTTCATTTCGAAATCTCTTCCTATTCCGACCATAACTTACTTTGATATTTTTCTTGTCAATAAATATGCGTTAGCATCAGTTTGCATCTCTTTTCTTAAATATTCATTAGATTTTAACTGAATTCCTTATGAATGTGAAATTCTGATTATTTTCAATATTCTTTGAAGTTATGTAGAGAAGAACGATGTTTTGCTTTAAAAAAAAAATTAAACAATGAAAATGAAAGGTATTCAATTTTGAAAAAGCAAAATGAATAGTTCGTGACGAAAAAATTACATTTTCAAATTTTTTTTTCTGTTTTGTTTATTTTCATAAAATTTTTTTTAAATTGTAAGCCTTTTTGGTCAGCACTTTTTAAATAAAGTTTTTTTAAATTCTAGATTAAAACTTTTCTCACAAAAAAGGAATGAAAGTTTAATTATTTAAATTTCATTAAATTATTTACATATTCCAATGAAATATTCTATTCTAATGGCATCTTTAACGATGATATCTCGAAAGTGCATTACATTACAGTTGTTACTTTTTTCTATTTGTAAAATTTGTAATATTTTAAAAATCTCGGAAATTTTTAATTTCTTATTTGAATTTGGTTGATTCAGTTAGATTCAGTTAGTTAATGTTTTCTTGGAACATCAAGGTTGACTGAATCATATGCTCTTCTTTTCCTCTTGATATTTACGTCCCACATTAGACTAGATTAGTTCCGCTGGTCGAAAGTTTACTTGTTGTTAAATTTTGTTCTAGAGAAGAGCATCCGACTCATTTAGGCATTTTATTAGCGTGCATTAGCATAAATCTTTGCATATGGAGGCCAACATGTCCTTTCGAAACAAGAACAGATCTGCCAGAATTGAAGAACAGAACTACCACGGCTACCTTCGCACAATATTCAGTTGTTCCATAGATTGCATTACGAACATCTTGCATCTTGGCATCTTGACATCTTGCTGGCGCTCAAGAGAGGTCAAAGTTAATCCAAAGATTGGGTCGCATATTTTTAGTGGAATTGTGACTGCAAATTCTTCTGTGCAGACTGGTTGGTATATCATTTGGCACTCTGCGATCACTTCACATTTCTTCCTATTTCTTTTCATCGCATTAGGTGGTTTTTATTTCTTGAGGTAATTTCGATGATCAAATTTGGTGTACAACGGAGTGACTTTTGAAGAACAGTAGCTGCTTTTAATGTAAGCAAGTTAAATTTTTCTCTTAGAAGCGATCTAAAAAGTTCAAACTTTAAAATTCAAACTTAAGTTCCAACCACCCAATGAGCAGCCGAAGGAGGAAATCCCAGCTGGGATAGCCGCAGTTAGAGTTGCCTTCCATCTGGTGGAATCATCGTGAAAAAATGAAATTTCTCATTTATAAGGATTTACACCATCTTATATGGCCTGAGAGGAGAATATCAAGGAATTTTGATCAATTTATTTTTAATCAGTCATGCCTGAACACATCTGTATTCTTCATATACTCGTTGAATACATGTTTGAATCTCATGTGTGCATGCAGCTTCGCTCGAACACCACCGTCTATATTAAGAAAATTGTCAGCATCTGTCTCAGTTAACCATCAGTTGGAGAACTGATGCATATGTACATAAATATAAATAAATATTAAATTCTGTGATGAATGTTAGCAAAGGCGAGGGTCAATCAGTTTTGAACTCGGACAATCAGGAGAAATTTTAAACTCTTCTAGCGAGCCAGTGTAACCATTAATGATGTGTGCTACTAGAAGAATGAGAAATTATCAGAATAATAATTCAATTTTCCAGTTAAAAGAGTCAAATTTATCAATTTTTTAAAAAATTGCTAATTTTTGGAACTCTTTTCGGTTAATTAGAAAATGAACCAACTTTTGGAATTGAATCTTAGGGCATTTTGAAGCTTTTCTTCTTAATGTAATAAATGCTCGTTAAATTCGAAATAGCGATTCCAATTAAACACTAATGCGTTTCACGCATTTGAAGTAACTCCCAGGAGGTTTTATAATATTTGCTCTTTTGTTAATCGCATTCGTTGCACGCACTCCATTTCTTTTCGCAAGTTTTTTCTTCACGCTATTAAATTATTTTTAATAATTATTTTCAGCAGTAAATTTATTTCTCAAGAATAAGCGGTGAGGTTACAACATTAATTCTGCAATAAACTGTGAATATATTTCTGCTAGAAGTGTTTAAAGAAAAAATGATGCAAAGTTTAACAAATTAATTTAGAAAGTTTCAAATCTTCACTTTTGGATCGAAAAATTTTATAAGAAGGTAGTTATAATAGAATATATATATATATATATATGGAAAAATTTTCCATTCTGCTAAATAGACTCATGGCAACACGAGATAGCAGAATGCATCTTCACCAAGCTGGATTCAGACCGGGATGAGATTGTGCATACCAGATATTTACGCTAAGAAGAGTGCTGGAACATCGCTTCGAATACCAGCAATCCACCTTTATTTATCGATTTTGCAACTTCCTTCGAATGATAGAGCAGTGCTCTGGAAAATGATGAAATGTGATGGTGTTCCAGAAAAGATCATTCGCCTCATAAAGGCATTTTATCAGCATACTCTGGTCTGTGTATATGGGGAACTAACAGATTCCTTTGAAAAAGAATTGTGGGCTGCGTCCCTTCCTCTACAATATTTGACTATGTGATTGATCGGATAATAGGCATTTCTTGTTGATACCCAAGAGGTGTACAAATCAGTCCAGAGCATCGCAGATCTCGAATATGCTGATGATATAGTTCTTTTTGTTGATATTGACGAAATGTTAAATAATCCAAACAATGTGTCAACAAGTGTCCTCGAGAATACTCAAACTCATTGTAAATAAACGAAAGTGTTTTTATCTTATATACAAGATGCTGATAAGATATATATTTTAATCAATTCATTGCCGGTTGAGGAAGTGCTTGACTTTAAGTACTTTGGATCCACTCTAATCCCAATGGCCAGGCAAACGATGAAATTGTAACCTAAATAAAGACAGCTAAAAATAGCTAAAAACATTTTTTGCCGGTTGGTGAACCCTTTTTGAAAGTCGCGAAATCATCACGAAAAGCCACGCTCCTATAGTCGCAATTCGCTCGATCTTGCTATATGGCTGCAAAACATGGCCTTTGAGAGTGGAAGATATTAAGAAGCCGTTAGCCTTTGTCCTCTCATGTCTAAGATATATTTTATGGATCCGTCGAGCGGATAAAATCGCACATGATTATATCCATCTTCGCTCAAATACCACCTATATTAATAATGTTATCACAGAGCGTCGCCTTCGCTGGGCACATTCTTCATCGTCTACCACAGGATTTGATTCATATTTCGTTACTTGCTAGACCCTTTAATGGTTGGCATCAAAAAAGAGGAGGGCCATTTGAGACCTGGATTTATACAATCAGGAAAAATTTTGAAACAGCGAGACCACTGATGTATGGACTTAGACGGTGGAAAAAGAAATGGTTTCTATTACTGTCGACAATGACATCAGACTGCGCAGCTTGGAAGCGTCTTACCTTTCAGCCGAGTCAGCCTAACCAGTAATGGTGAGAGCCGTCAGAAGAAGAAGACATATCTGCATGGCAAGATTATCACCTCAAATCAGCTTTCAACAAGAATAAACTTGTCATTGAAAAAGATATTTTGGGAACCCAACTGTAGCGGGAACACTTTGTGCCCAGAAAGAATTTTTTCATCATACTAATAGGCGGAAAATGGTACTCTGAAAATGTAAAATGGTAAACGCTAGCCTGCCACAACATAAATTATAGAGTTCAGCAACAACACATCAAGAAATTCTAGATGCTATCTTTCGTTATTTAAGTTGCACATACGATATTTTAACTTTACAAAATAAGCGGAACTATTAAGAAGCTATATAAAAGAAATTTATACACTAAAAAATATAATGAATGATGTCCATAATACACATTAATAACGCCAAAAAAATTTCGGATTAGTATCATCATAAGTCTAATGGAAATTTTTTTGAAAATTGTTAAACATTTTTCAAATTTGATTTATCTCTGGAATCCAAATTTGATTCATAGTATCTCCGAAATTTAAAACCGATTGCAATTAAAAGCAAGAATAAATGAAAAAAATTTGGTAGTGTTCTACTGTTCTGAACCACACTTTTCATTTGAATACCGCATCAGTGGCGAGATTACATTTGCATTATGTGCTAATTCGAATAGGAGACAACAACCTATTTTCTCTTTTTTTCCTCTCTCATCTTTTATTACCCCTACACATATGAAATGAAATTAGTAGTTATAGATAATTCTGATTTGCGAGCGCAGCTGGGGATTGTAGAACAATAAAAAGTAAGAGCATTTGTTTACGAAGACCACGGTTTAAATTCCATTCCTTCTGGAGGTCTCGTTTCTGTTTTTCCACGTTGTATCTCTTTCCAATTGGTACTAAGGACTGTTCCATTACTTTCCGTAAAAGATTTTGCCATTGCTTTTTTAGTATCATCATCTGCATCAGCATAAATTTTCTGCAAAATTTGTTAAAATAAGTGGTTAAAAAAATCACAAAAATTTATAATAAATTTAAAATAATTAATAAATATTATAATAAAGACATAAGAAGACATTAAATATCAAATATATTATTAAAACCGTTTAACCGTTTCTAACCGTTTTTACCGTAAACCGTTACCGTTTACCGTTTTACTTCAGTATTTTAAAAAAATTATTAACAAAAGAATTAAGAAAGATACAATGTACAATACAATATAAAAAGAATACTTGGAATAAAGCCTGAATCGAATTTTCTTCTTCATTATCAGCTTCTTTGGCAATCTGGTCCCAGTTTATCTTCAAGGATTTTTGAATAAAAAATGAAAAGTTAATAATGGTTTTTATTAACAATTGAATAAATTTATAATAATTACGCGATCTATCTGGATAAATCGCGAAAAAAACTTATATAAATTAAATTGGAAGGAGAAACTAGCTACAAACTCATACACATAGAAAATGTTGTAAAAAAATTGTGCTCTTTTTGTTCAATTTAATTTCTTTAACCATTTAGTGGTAGCAATTGAAGAGGAAGAAAAGAAGACGCCATCTGTTAACTCGCTAACACCACCTCAAATTGGACTCATAATAAAGTTATACATATAGCGTCGATAAATTATGAACATACCGAATCATTTTTAAATAACATACTTTTTCAACAACTTTTGGTTTTTCATTAGCATTAGCTTCTTTTTTAAACAGTTGAGGCCAAGTTTCGCAAGTTTTTTTGCTCATTCTCAACTCGATCTACAATATAAGCATCTATACGAAAAGAAATACAACCAAGGTTCAATTTTTCAATTTTCTAAAAAATTTAGATTTTCAAAGATTTTCATCGGTTGTTGAATTTTCAAATTTTTAAAACAACACCTTTGAAGGAGTGCAGTTTACATGAAAACTGTCTTGATCAACAGGGCCGAAAAGTTGCGCATCAAAAACACGTTCATCATCAACAAATATTTGAAGAATATCCTTTGAATATATTACTTTGCATTTATCTAGAACAACACCACGCTTTGGTATAATTAACGTGATAAAACCATCTGTTTGATAGTAATCGAATCTATAAATAATTCAGTTATTTTTTGGGAATCAAAAATGACCAATTTTTGATTAAAAATAGCCGAAGAATTGGGATGCCTTTGATAATACATAAACCAATGATAATTACAAAAATACAACAAATGACTGATTCTTAAGAGGAAATAAATGAATACCGGAAATATAAAATCTAAAAATTTGAATAAAACCGAAGAACTAACTTCTTCATTGCCATTTTCGATTTTCAAACCTTTAATTACGACCTATCGAAATGATGAAAATAATCAAAAGCAATTAACTGAAATTACGATTTAAAAATCGTCGAAATTAATGAAATTTTATAAAAGCCTTCTTTAGAAAAACAATGAGAACAATAATTTTTTACCCCCCACCTCGAAAAATTTTTTATTAAAATCAAAATGAACTATATATTTATGGCACATCTAAAATAAAATAAAAAATGCTAAAGTAAATCTTTTTACAAAACTTACGAAGATATTTTAATTTCAACTTCACAAAAAAATGAAGAGAACTGCTTACTTGACACCCATTTTCGATTAAAACCAGGTCATGATCGACTCTTAATCTCTAACGGCAATAAAATTGCCATTCATTCCGAATTGTACTGCTTACCATCGTATCTCTTGATTTATAAATTTCCGACACCCTTTTAATATCTCTAATTCAATTGCAATTTCATAGTACCAAACCCTATTTATCTATTACCCTATTTGAATCTCTGGCAGCAGAATAGCACTCTAATAAGCAGTAAAGACAAGTAGTACACATATGGCAAGCACATTTAGAATAAAATAGACAAAGTACAAATAGAATTTTGCGGCCCAACCATCTTCTGACATCTACTTAAGAAACCAACTCGAAAAATTTATCCATTAATAAAGGATAAACGCAAAAATTGAGAAATCAATAGCAGAATTTTCAGAATTTATATCGGTATATTCGATTATTAAAATGCAAATATTTTCCATCAATCAATCGTCGATGTAAATTTTTTATCAGCTCGATAAAAATTTAGAACAAAATGTAAGTTTCATCAAACAATATTTTAGATATTAATAAATATTAATATATTAATATTAATATTAATATTAATATTAATATTAATATATTAATGCATTAAAGTGCACCGAGATGATCTTTAATTTGTTGTTTCGATAATCGATTAAAGCCGTTTTTATTACAAATCGCAATCTCGACGTTATCTTCAGTCATTCCTACATCGAAACTTTCACGAAGCGTAAGTAAAGCAGTATGTATACCATCATCCAATTCAAGAGAATCGCTAAATCGTTTTTCCAGAAATGTTTTCCCATTCACATCATTCTTGCCTAAGGCTGTTGCTTTCCAAGCAAAATATGCTCCCTATAAGCTTATTTACTTATTGTAATAAAATCATAATGTAATTATAATAAAAAAAAGGAAAAAATATAAAATAAGTAAATAATAAATTCATTTCAATAATTTGATTTCTGATAATAGTTAAATAACAATAGTTATAATAGTTTTATTTTTCACCCAGAAATAATATTTACCCCGCTTCTTGAGAGATAAAGCAATATTCTCCTTCTAGAAAGGATGATTAAAGAAAATGTACCGAAGGATCGCATTGAAACAATAATGGCCTTCCACTGCTAGGGTCTGTGTCCCAACCCGCCACAAGCATAGATACACCAAATGGACGCACACCTCTAAAAGTTTTCAATATCTTTAAAAACCATTTTTAAACACCAAAAACAAATTTTTGTTCGCGATACAATAACAACGATGGAAAAAACAAAGATGGAAAGGGTGAAAATAAAGCACCCAGACTGCGTATATTCTTGCATAACTGCTGCCAGACGCATAACTAGTTGAGTTGTAGGTATTTCCTCGCCATACATTAATTCATATTCCATAGCTATTTTCCTTGCTTTTTTGACTAATATTCTGTAAATTTTTTTCTTTTTCATTTATATCTTTGAAGTGACAGTTTGAGAAAATAAATGATGATTAAAATATTTTCTGGATGCATATAAAAAATTTCTTCATATTCCATCTAAAAAACTTAAAGGCAAAATTTTTTTTGGTTATTTATTTGCATAAAACCTGTAATCCGGGCCCATCCCACTATAAACACATCCAATATGTTGACTTATTTTCTCAATTTTGGCTTGATCCTCGTAAAGTATGGATGCCTTGTTTTCCGTTGCCAGCACTACACCATCCGATGCTTAAAAAATGCCAAATAATGGCCAGAAAAGTACTTTACTTTACAAAAAAATATGCAGTAAACAACCTCTCAATCCAACAGATGGTTGACCATTTTTTACCGCATTCAATGCATATTCAATTTGCATTAATTTTCCAGAGGGGCTATAAATTCATAAAAGTTAGAGAAAGCAATAGGGAAGTAAATAAGCTAGAAACTTCTTTAAAAAAAAAGAAAACTGGAATAAAAATTTTTAAAACACACCTGAATGTAGTAAGCGAAAATCCGTAATGATCACCCATTAAACCTGAAAAAAATAGATAATTTCAATAGATAATCTCTATGCTAAGTAAAAACTCGACTAATTTTTGCGCAGACTTTCAAACATTTATTATTTGTTTAAAATCGTTCGTAAATGTGAGAAAAACCGAAATATCATACAAAAAAAAATGTAAATAAATAATATAAATAATCAAAACGAAAAGAACGTGATCAAGTGACAATAAGGACAAATAATATATTCAAAACTTTTATTACAACAAATTTAAAAAAATTTATCCACAAGCAATTTTTTTGAATCACACTGCCTTTTTCTTCCTCTTTCGAGATTTTTTCTTTTCTATCGTATGTTTAATGAATTTCGCCTTAGGGTTTCGTATTTTTCTATTTGTATCAAATATTTCGCCAACTGGATCTGGTAATTGAACTGTCTCCAATTTCCTATTTTTTTCCTCTCGTCCCTGAATAATTTCAATTACTTTTCGAATACTATTTAAAAAAAATTCATCAGAATTTTGAAAATATTGCAGATTGTTTATATAGAGGAAACACCACAAATAAAAATTGAAAATATAAATTACAATAAAACAAAAATACCAGAATATCTGATTTCCTTTTCACATATTTGTCAGACCCAATTTTTTTCATATTTCTACGAATAGTGTTTGGACTAACATAATTCGGATTATTATATAGTACATTTCCCTCAAAGGAACCATCAAATATTCGTATGATTTCGAGAACCATTCGTGGACCTTAAATAAGTCCGTCTAGACAAACTCAAAAAAATTAACTCAAATATTCTGAAACAGTAAAAGTGAAAAAAGTTACCAATTTCCTGCAGCTCAAGCGAATCGTCTACTACTTGAAAATTACGAAACCAGATTTTATCTTCTTGAAATAAGGAAAACGAAAAAATGTGATCGATAAAAGGCTGACTGCGAGGATGATGATAAGGCGTTGTAAAGATCTAAAAAATTTTCCACAAATCACTGTGGATTATCTTGTAAAACAAATTTAAAATTCAATAAAATGGAGGAAACAACGACTTACTATAAGATTTTGCAAGTTGTTCAAACAGATTTTAAATGATGACAAATTTAACAGGAATGATTTTTCTGGCAAAATCGTCAGTAAGACAAAAAACGGCAACCTGAGCGATCATATGCTTGATTAAAAGCAAATGTGGTTTGGAATCAAATTTCGAATCAAAAGATAAAATTGGTCGAGAAGATTTCAAACAGTTGCCAGACATCCGAAGCTCATCCATTGTATGAACATTATGCACTAAAAATTTCATCGAAGGGCCATCGGTGATATTTGACATCCACAAATAAAGATCCTCCAATAAAAAAAACACGGAAGTCAAAATCACGAAAGTAAGATAAGGCAAAAATGATTAATTACTTTCAAGAATCTTATAAAAATATTTTTTGAAAAAATTGGTAATTCTTTTCTGATTTTGCAGCATGCTAATGGTAATTTTTTTATAACAAAAGGTGATTTATGATTAAATTCATATTACTTTTTGTTTTCTGTTTTCAAAATAAAGACATTTCGAACAATTTGCCATTTCAGCGATTTCATTAATCACTGACAAATATTCACGTTTATCCAATTTATTTTCGGATTTGGAATGAGGCATAAGACTTTTGAAATCGTTCATTAAATGTCGTGAACGAAATGTTGTTCCACGGGCACAAAAAATCATAACTCTTTCTCGATTCTTCCACTTTAATTCTACCTTTAACAAAAAATATTCAAAAACTTATTCTAAAATTTGCCTCATTTCATTTTATCTGTGCTAACCTTTTGAGAGACATTAGCCAAATTTTGACTGATATTCGTCGAATTTTCTTCAGTTCTTGCCATCAATTTAGAAGTTTCATCCATCTTAAAACACTTCTGAAAATCATTATTTCAATTATCAACAATTTTTGAGCAAAAAAAATAATTTAAACAATAAATAAATAAATTTAAGATTATAATTATAATTATTATTTAAGATTTGCGATTTAACGAACTTTTTCTCATCCCCTATGAGTAAATTCAAAGTGCGACGCATTCCAATAAACTTATTAGAAAAATTGCAGAGCAACCAATGAAAACGAAAATCTTTAAATGAGAATTAAATGACAAATAAAATAACAAATTATAGAAAAAATAAAACCGAAATTTAAATCGGCAAAATCCGAAATCTACGTCAATCTTAATCTTTATTTTGAAAAGAGAAAACAAAATGTAATATAAATCTACTTAATCGGCAAAATCTTAAGGAAGAAAACCACAAAGGAATTGAGCATATTAAATTTGGAAATTCTAGAAATTTCTTTTCTTTATTCCGTTTTTAAATATCTTTTAGGTTTATTACAGAGCTCACCATTTGACTATTAGCGTAAGACTATTTTGCCACAGAAACAAATGTTGAGAAGTGTGGATGGAACACCAGCATCAACTCAAACACTCATCCCTTATGCAAAGCTTAAAAATATTTAACGATGAATTAGCATATTTTCTCCGCGTAGAGTAGACCTATCTAGACCCACATCGCATTAATCGACCAATATTCAAAACCACGCCATTAGAACCCGATGTTTAAATTTTTATACCGTAATCTGCTTATCGTTTTGAGGCCAATATAATAAACTTAGCAGCCCTAAACTACCCCTAACGACTCAAACGAACGTAAAACTACCTGCTCTTTGATTTTCTTTTTTTTTCCTCCTTTCCAGCTTCTCATCTGCAAAGCATCTCCATCCAACATTGAAAAAATATACATATATAATCAGTATTCGACGAATACCTATCAATGCGCCAATTATTATCGACAAATTCAAAAATAAATATATAGAAAATTTTAAAAAATGACTTATAGTTTTCTCTAAAGAACTTAAGAAATATCTAACTGAATTAATTTTAAAAAAACAAGTAAAATATCCAATCTAATTCAACAAATTTCCAAAAGTAAACGATCAATCAACAAATCATGCATCTGATAAAAATTCAGTCAAAAATTTATTATATGAATGGCACAAAAACACATGATATGCATAAAGAAAATTCACTGCAAATAATAATGAAATACGTGAATATAGGTATTTTGCTGGGATTAAGACCAAATATCAAAAAATTAAATCCTGGACCGTGAATAACATAAAATAATCATTAAGTAAAGCCTATATGATTCCTTGACAGTGAAAACCGCTATATGACTGCATAATAGTTTATGGGGTCAATTAAACCAGATATTGCGCATACTTATAAGAAGATTGCACAAAAAAAAATCACACTGTATCAAAGTCATCATCATCTGGTGCTCGTCGTTTTAAAATATTTGCTATGCTCTCAGGTTTTGTTTGCCTACTCAAGTCAACCGAACGTTCAGTGGATTCTTTCTCAACTCTGCTCATTCGATCTCCTAATTCCCGCAGACGTGCAGTACTCTAAAAAAAAAAGCTACAACAACGCTTTTCATTGATTTGTGCCCTAAATTATTCAGATTATGTGGTTTAACAATAAAACCAAAATGCATAACCAATAAGGATTATTGAATTTATTATATAATATAATACCTTCCACTTTACATTCGGTTGTATAACACAGAATCGATCATTAGGCAAACGAAGGCCAAAATCTTGTTTGATAGCAGGAAGTGGAATGGAATTTTTCTTCTCAGCCAATTCCAACAGAAACTGACGATCTGGATTTACACTCCTCCATGAGCATGCTTTAAAAAATAAGCTTAAAAAAACTTTTATATCATTTTATAATTAATTTTATATCTGCTCTAACATTTCAACAATATTTAAAAAAAAAAAAACAAGCTTACTAAAAATGAATGAGTAAAATCAGCAATTGCTAAAAGTTTATACCAGCACTATCGATGGCAAATTGTATGTCTAATTCATCTATTTGTTTCTTCTCAGCATGTTCACTTATTGAACGCGCACTTTCGAGAATTTCAACTGTATATCTAAGAAAGATTTTTATTAAATCTCAAAATAAATGAAAAATATCGTTTGTTTCCAAAGCAAAATCATAAAATGTATAGCTAAGCTCCAATTAATTAACTGCTAATGACTTTTACAACATTAAAAGTGAATATCATACAAGATAAATTATCAAAAAAATCGCAAAGAATAAGCTACCCATAGGCAAAATCGAGAAGCTGTGAAATAATACGAGGTTCATATTCGGTGATTCCCATTTCTTTAAGCACAGCTTGTATAACCAAGGCATCGCGAGGTACAGAACCCATCAAGACTTGAGGATCTAGAGTTACTTTGACAATTTTCCTTATTTACAACAGAAAAAAGGACCAAAATGATATATCTGGATACGAAATACAAACGGATTCAACCACTGATTAACAAAAAAATGATTTGATTCAAACAAATATTTACTGCGATAGAAATAAATATGAACATGGCATGAAAAATTTGAAAATCACGCATGCATAATTGCACGCACAAAATCCGATATATTAACATTCCCATGTGAATCTTCATGTCCAGCAAGCAACTGATCGACCTAAAAGTGTGTAAATAAGAACATACCTTTTAATTTAATATAACATTATGATTTATCATATCATACATATTCGGTATGAACAAAGATTTTCATTAGTAACCTCTTCATCTGATAATCGTTCACCAAGAGTTGTAAGAAGATGACGAAGTTCAGCCACATTAATACAGCCATTTCCCTAAATATATAAATAGCTAGATGTAGTACATAATAAATAAATATTGAAAATGAAATAAATATTTGAAAAAATACAAAATAAATACCTAAAAATAAAACGCATCAGATGATTATCTTTTGAAAATTACTTGATGAATATAACCTCTTATGCACTTTTAAATATTGAAAAAATGTAAAACAAAAAAAGTAACTTAAAAGGAAAAAGTGACTGCACAAGTGACACAAATTAATAAAAATTAGAACATTATATTCTCTTTATATTCTTTAACTGGCTGGTACTAAACACACTGATAAGAACTACTGAACCAAAGACGTATTAAATTAGAAGTTCAAATAAAAAGTTATATCACATAATAAGCAAATAGTTTGTCTAAATCTATAAATCTTATTAAATTAAATGAAAAAAATATGTAATATACCTCTTTGTCGAAATGAGATAGACCTTCGACAAATTCCTCTAAGGAATGACTTTCTCGGCATTTATTAATAGATTGGTAGATTGGAACGAAATCCTCGAAAGTGATTCTCGTATCTATTTAATTTAATTTTATATGACAAATAACAACAAATGAAGTCGCTTTCAGCAGAATATTGAATATTCTAACCAGGATCAGTCCAATGAGCGCAACATTTTCGAATTTCAGCTTCCGTAGGATTTTGACCAAGCGCTCGCAATACATCACCAACTTGACCCACCCCAATGCGTTCATCACCCTAAAACTCTATCAAAAATGTAAAAAAAATCGGCTTTTCTATAATGGACTAAATTTCGTCGACAAACCCACGATTTTATCATAAGGAAAGAGATAAATGAAGTATTCATACACCATGACATTAACGGTAAATGAACGGTAAATGAAAAAATTATTTAAAAAAGAAATTTGGAAAAACCTTCGAATCGAAGTAGCAAAACACTTCCCGACATTCAGATAACTGCTCGTCAGCGGAAAGCATTGAAATATTTCTTACTGATCCTGATAAAAACGCAATTAAATGTAACCAATTTCGTAGAAAAAACTTATTAAAATTTACGAAAACACAGAAATGATTCAAGAAAATGAAGATAAAAAACAATACCCACATACTCCCAAAAATATGACCATAAAAACAACAAAAAACAGATCTTTTGCCGACCGAATTAAATAGGCTAACCAAAAAAAAATCATTCAAAAGCAAAAATAAACCTTCTCATCCTCCCTACTCTTCCCTAACTTCTTCCAATAACTCCCACCATTACGCTGGCTCCAACGGCTATAAACGTAAGACGCTTGCAAGCGGCGCGGTCTGATGCCATCGTCGACGGTAATGGAAGTCATTTCTTTTTCTATCGTTTAGGTCTAAATATTGCTGGTCCACCTATACAGTCCCGGTCTTGAATTGATCTCTTCCCTAACTGCCTTCTCTTACACCCTATTTTTTTGCCACGATGATGCCATGATATTGTAAGTATATTTGCTGCATTTCTTAATTGCTTAATTGCCAGAAAAACTAAAAAAAATAAACTGCAAATAACATTTCCATGATAAATGAACATAAAATAAATAATTTATTTAAAAAAAAACAATATTTTAAACTTTGAATACTTCAAACACATAAAATCCTATCATCAATTATGAATATTTTATTATTTATTTATTATTATTAAAAAATTTTCAGATTTTCTGACAGAAAAAAAAAAAATAAATCGTAGATATATTTAATGCAAACCAGTTCTAATATTTCGAATATATAAAACTAATGGGTTAGAAAGAATCAATTACAAATAGTATATTTGAAAATTTAAGTCAAATAAAAAGAGAACGGACGAAATTTATGGAAATAGCTGATTAGAATCGAAAATATGCCTAAAATCAGCTAATTATATAAAACAAGATGAAAAAATGAAAATATTTTCACCAATAACACCAAAACAAACCAATTAAATTTTTTGTAGAGATTAATTTATAATATTAATACTTACGAATCTCAATTAGGCCCCTTAATTAAGAGTAATTAATATTAAGTTATTTTAACATTAATAAATCAAGATTGAAAAAAATTGACAAAATTTAATTTTGTTAAGAGCAAAAGAGCAGTTTACATGAAGAAACATGGAAAATACAACTAAACAAATAAAAGGATCAAAACTCTTTTATTAACGAACAAGCGAAAAGCGCAAATGGCAATAACCTTTCAAATTTATCATTGAACTTATGTTAACATTCATATATTAACATTATTTTTCGGTCTCTGCGAACCTTACGCCACTATTCCAACAATTATCTTTCTTGTTTCACTAATTAATTATAAAATAAAATAATGTCTTCTATACTAGGGATCACAATTTCTTCGAAAATTAATTAGTTCTCTCAACTTTAAAATAGTAAAACTTACAAAAGCAAACTATTTATTAAAATTTGCCTTCAATCTTCGATTGAAAAATTCATAAAATTTCACGTATCTTTTTTACATTATTAAAGAATTATTCCACTTATAACACAAGTAAGCGATATGTCATTTTGATCAATTGATAGCACTGCCATTTTTTCTGGAACAATTCCTGGAAATCAACCTTTTAAATAATGTAATCAACCAAACTTTTTCTAGCCGAGGTACTTACGATAAAGAAAGCGCTAAAGCTATAGAAAAAGAACCCTAATCAAAGGATTGATTACAAGATTTCCATTAAACGACTTCTACTAAGATTCTATAAAAATTAAAATCAAATGAAACAATCAAAAAAATCACAAGATGAAAATTGACTTTGAAAATTGACTTACGAAGTAAAATCCTTGAAAATGTCAAGTTGGAAGAAATGCCCCTAAGCAGAGAATGAACTGTTCGGATATCTACCCGAACTTCGTGAAAAATATCATTACTTTCAGCCGCTTCTTCTGCAAATTTTAAAAATAAGCAATTCAGTTAAATCAAAATTAAATTGCCAGATAAAATGATTAAAATGATTAAGTATACTGCTTTGATTGAAGTCGAGTATAATGGGTTCGATTTCTATTTTCTGACAGGGGTATTTCCTTTAGTAAAATCGGTTTGGGCTGAGGATCCACATGCACATCTGTTATATCTTCAAGTAATTCCCTGGCAAATATCCCACCTCAGTAATTAGTCAGACCAGAAAAACAGTTGAAAAAAGGTTTTAGTAAAAGACTGCGTTTTTTTGATTATAATTTTTACTGTCAAAATTTTAAAATTTATCATCCTTGTTTAATTTTCTTTTTGGCTATCTACTTTCGAAGATACTTTGCTTATGGACGAAAATTTTTTAAAAAATTAAAAATTTCAATAAAAATTTCACTTGAAATATGAAGGTCTGAAACGACAAGATCAGTGAAATAAACATTAATTTGAGCAAATTCAACATCCCCATTTAGATGTAAATCACCTTGCCGATTTGCTTTGATTGCCTATGAAATATGAGAAAAAATGAACAAAATAAAAGTGAAAAATAGAAAAAATCCATGTGGATGCCATAAAAATGTACTGTTACAACCCATGTTTCATCGACTCTACTCCTACCTTCGATTCAATTGACAAAATAGCGCTATGGAAGGTTATGGAACGTGATGTTGTTCCAGAGAAGATCATTCGACTCATAAAGCATTTTATCAGCATATATCGGCGCAGGTTTATAAATCTGAGGAAGTGCCTAACCCTTCCGAAATAAGAACTGGCTTCTTTCACCTACAATTCGATAGACTATACAATGGATTGAATAATGGACATCGCCGATCGGCATTCAAGAGTGTACAAATTAGTCCGGAGCATCATATCACAATACAGATTTTGAATACGCTGATGATGTAGTCTTTTTTGTTTTTGTGCTTTTTTGCAGTAATGAAATGCTAAACAAAGTGTCGACAACCGCAGCGAATCTGACTCAGGAACAATGTAAATAAAATCTTTTCGTCTTATATGTAAGAAATTGATAATATGTCAAATACCTTAGATCCACTCCAATACCGAATGGCCAGACAATTAGCTCGGATAATGGCAGCTAGAGATGATACATTCTTCGGGTTGATGAAACCTTTATGAAGCCATCGCAAAATCATCATAAAATCTAAACTTCGCGTCTATATAGCCGCGATTCGTTTGATCTTGCTATAAAGGTGTGAACTAAGGAGAGTCGAGAATATTAAGAAATTATTTGCCTTTGACCAATCATGTCTAAGGTGCATTTTACTGGGTTCGCCGATTGGATTCTCACATGATAAAATCTCACACATCCCACCTTTGTTCAAATACCACTTGCATTAACAGTACCATCATGGAGTGTCATCTTCACTAGTTAAGGCATGCTCTTCGTCGCACACCACCAGAGTTGGCATATATTCCGTTACTTGATAAACCCCTTGATGAATGGTGTCAAAAGTGAGGAGAACCAATCAGGACCTGGATTGATACAGGAAACATTTTGAACGTAGAGGTGGATCAGCAATATATGGACAATATAAATACTAAATAGATGATGGAAAAAGGAGTGGTTTCTATTACTACCGACGATGGTATCAGATCAGGCTTGGAAACATCTTACCCTTGTAGCCAATGAAGCCAGCTTAACCAGTAATGATGAAAGCTGTTAGAAGAAAAAGAAGACCAAAAATTTACCAAAAATTTAGCACCCACATTTTTAATTGAATTGATAAGATTTCGAATTGTTGCAAGTGGAGGGAAATAAACGGCTGCCTGAATTTTATTATTATTATTATTTTATAATTTTATTATTATTATTTATTGCTATTATTTGTTATTATTATTAATCATTATTATTATTTATTATTATTATGTCAAATACCTTAGATCCACTCCAATACCAAATGGCCAGACAATTAGCTCGGATAATCGAATTTTATTATTATTATTATTTTATAATTTTATCATTATTGTTTATTGCTATTATTTGTTATTATTATTTATCATTATTATTATTTATTATTATTATTTTATTATTACAATATTATAATTATAATTATAATATTATTATTTTACTATTGCCATATTATTATTTTATTATAATAATTAAGAAATACCAATTAAAAATTCAAAGAATTAAAAACACCGACTAAAATTTTAACCTTGACGCCAGATATATTAGGAATATCATTTGATTTCCAATGCCTAGTAGGTATTAACTCAACGGGTATTTCGTGCACAATGGAACAAGTTTTTTGTTCAACTTTTAAATGAGGTGTATTTCCGATTTTCGTTAATCGAATTTTCGTTGACTGTTCTTTGATATTTATGCTTCTGGAAAAATGCGAAATAAAAAGAGGAAATAATGTGAATAAAAGTGAAAGAAAATAAAAAGTCAATAATTAAGATTTAATTTAATATAGCAATAATTAATATAATAAAAAAATCAACTTTTTAATTATTGCACCTGAATAAATAATCTTTGTCGATTTCCATATAAATCTCATTAAATTCTTCTGATAAACCACTCATTATATAAGCAGAAAAGAATTCACGCTGAAAGAAATTCAGTGAGAAATTTCTACTTTTACCTCATTGAAAAAAATCTAAGCAATATACGACATTCGACATATCTAAACATATAACCTAAGGCATCAGTTATTTAAATTCTTTTTTTATTGTTTAAATTAAGAATGAGTAAAGAGGGTCTGCGACGATTGAAAATAGAATTATGCAATATGTAAAAATGTAATATTAAGGCATTTATGATTTTCTTTAAACTGCAAAATTGTCGAAAATTTTCTTATAAAAAATAATTATAAAAAAAACATACAGCTGTCAATATGACCTGCAAGAATGTCCCATTCGAGCGCAAAGAATCTGAACTGATGAATGCAATGGAACTAGGAGTAATTCGAAAAATGACTCGTTCTTTATAAAATCGTGATATCATTTCTGCTATTTCTGAAAATTTCTGGTCATAACAAATTATGAAAATATTTTATGAATATTTTTATATGAAAGAAACTAACTTGAAAATGAATCTGTAGCACCCTGATCTAACAGAATCGCTAAAAATTTCATCTGAAACAGCGTACATGAAAGAGTTAAATACCCATTAATAAATGAAGAAATATTCCGAAAAGGTACAAGAACGCATCATTAGTCACATCATTAAAAAGTTTGAATTTTTATTTAAATTATTTTGTTGCTTATCCTATAAAATAAATTGATCAATCCAAAAAGCCATCGATTCCTTTTTCCTGAAAATCGAGAAAGTTTGAAATAAGTTTTGATGAAAAAATAATTTAGAAATAATATTGTATAATTCGAGGTAGTTTATAACTACTTTACTTTATAATTATAACTTAAAGTAATAAATGTGAAAAATTCATTTTTCAAAATTCATTGAAGTCATATCCACTATTCACTACAGTATTGAAAATATAAATCAAAAAAAAAAAATTTTAGAGAACATTTTACGGCATAAACAGATCATTTCAAAAATCTTAACGATTGGTAGGTTACTGGTTCTTCTTTAAAGGGAAATTTTCAGCACAAAAATTCCTCAAAAAAAATAATTCGCAAAATTAAAAAAACCATACAGTAATTCGATAATGAATGAAGCCTTGAGCATAGATGGGTGATTTTACAAGATTTGCAATCTTATATTTGTGAAACTCAGTGGAATGACATAACCAGAGTCTTGTGGTAGGATTATGTGACCTATTAATTAAAACAAAAATTTTAAACGAAAAATAAAACAATATTGATATAATGGAAAAAAATCATTTGGAACGTTCCTGAAGGCAGCACCCAAAAAAATCTTAATGGTTATCTTATATCTTATAAATCTTAACCTTTTCCACTGGTTAATTAATTATTTTTTTCACCGTTGCTGAAATAGAATAAACCACTTAAATCCGACTCTGATTTCACAGATCAAAATCAGATCAGAAATTTAAATTTTTTCCAATAAAAAATTTGTAATATGAATATTGTATATTGTAAGAATATTGTAAGAAATTGAATTAATAACTGACAAGATACATTCGTAAATTCTAACTATTCAAAAATAGGAAAAAAAGGAATTTAGGAACCATGTTGTTCCAAGGGCTGCTTTCAAAAATCCAGGCTCAGATTCATTTTCCAAACAATACGTTACGTGGTTCACAACAACAATCTGAAAAATAATATTTAAGGAATAAAAAGAGAAACAGAAAAAAAAGAAACAATAATTTAAAAATAATAATTAAAAAAAGGAATATGGAAAATCACATAAAACATAAACGTACGGTACAACGATATAATGCAATAAGTTTGGTAAGAATTCGAGAAATATCGATAATTGAACAACGGAAATACTCGTATTCATATCTTAGCGGCATTGCTAAACTATCAATTATGATAAGACCAACCTGAAAATGATAAAATTACCAGCAATAATAATAAGATTTATATAAGATTTTCGCGAAACTATTCTCAATTAATGTTCTCAGTCCATGTTTACTTTATTTTAAAGAAACGAGTAGAAGCCATAAGCCTTTTCAATAATAGTAACATAAAATACAATATTAATAATATTGACGAAAAATAAAAAAAAATGTTATATCGTATAGCTGGGAGTGAATGGACAGTACGAATCGTTTATCACATTGATGTCACATCCACTATTCATTATAATATTGGTAATATTTTTAATACTGTCAACAACATCCTATTTGTTTTTTATGTGATTTTTTTGCACTTTCTGTATTCTTCGTTCCATCTTCCGGTTTTCTTTCCGTGTTTTATATTTCTCTATTTACTTTGGCCAGCATATGCCCTATATTTTATTCTTATAAATAAATATCAAGCTAGCCTTAAAAATTGATTTTCGAATTTTTGAACCATTATCTATAGTGCATGCTTGAGTATTTTAAAAAAGATCTTAGAAGAATCTGGGCCAAAAAATATAAATGTATGTCAGATCTTGTTTAATTCTCCTATTAATGAACCTCCTATTAATTCATACATCTTGAGTTTGGTCAAATAACTAATAATAAATCATGTTTAAATGATATTTATTAATTTTCATTTGCTTAATATTATCGTTTGATAATTTTGCCATCTTTAGATTAACATGAACCAATATTTTAATAAAATACTAAAATATTAGAAAAAAATTCCATTCGATTTTGCCCAAAAGTAGTAAAAATAAATAGTTTACCTCTAAATGTTTCGTTATCAAAGAATCAAGTCGATGCAAAATACTTATCAATTCGACAATATCATGACATCTACAATAATGAATAAATTCAAGGACTTTAGAAGCAGCAAGCTCTGGAAGATAATATCTGGCAATTTCATTTAATCTTGTCGTTACAAATCCTCCTTCTGTATCGATATAAATAGACTCCTTCTTTGAAATTATTCGTTGTTGATTAATGGCCAATTGCATACTTGAAGAAACTTTTTTTTCAAATTTTAAATTATAAAAATTAACTGAAATATTAATTACTTCTTAAATAAGTCAAGAAGAAAAATTGACTTTATAGAAATTTAAATTTCGATAAACAATCCAAAAATACCGAATCGGTTACTTAGGTAAAATGGAAATAGAGTTGGTAACGTATTTCTAAAACTTTTTTTCTGAAAAGATTAAAAAATGAAAAATTGAATTTAAATAAAATTTCCACTGCTCTCCATTAGAAATCTTATAAAAAATAGTTTTCTGGCTTTCACTTACTCGTAAACATGTATTAAATCGATGAGGGATGTTTCGCTATGACCAAATATTACCACAGTGAACCAAATAGTGAATGGACGCCAAACCAACCGATAATCCAAAAAATGACGAAAATGAAGAAGAATAAACTTTATGAAAAAAATACTAACCACAGTTGTGACTTTCCAGTGGAAGACTGACCAACAATTTCGAGAAAAGTGCCAGCTGCAATTCCACCACAGAAAAGAGAATCAAATTGCGGTAAACCTATTTGTAGTAAACTCTCAGTATGTTCCAGTTTAAGAATATCCAATGCATTAATAAAAATTTCGCTATTTTCTGCACTCTCTTCGTTATTCATCGATCCTTCAATTTCAATAACCCATATTGGTTATTTGGACTACAAACGAATGCGAAATTCATTTAGAGATAGCTTTCAGAAAAGAGCTAAGCTTTCTGCATATCTGACGCGATAAATGGCAGCTCATTAATAAATTAATGTGAACAAGTGGTAATCAAAAGTAAAGTAAAATTTCGAAAGTGATTAAGGGAATAAAGAAGCCAACAAGGGGAAGAAATGGGATATCGAGAAATGCTGCAGCAGTAAATGCAAACCTTTCATCACAAAATGAACAAATATTCTTTAAAAATTTTAATATTTTCTACATATTTTAAATATAAAGTGGAAAAAATTTAAGTATTCAAATGGATTTTACCCTTGCTGCCAGTGCAGCCAGCGCAACCAGTAATGGTCAGATCTATTAGAGGAAGAAGGATTTGAAGAAAAAAACAATTGGTGATTACTGAGGTCACCAAAACATTTTGTATATTGCCCTGGCTTAACGCATGGAATGGCCCCACTATTTACATCGCCAAACGAATGTCTCTCAGCGAACGATTTCAGATTCCAAAGGTCTACTCGTCGTTGCTTTTTAGCTTAAATTCATACGCTCCATTTTTTGATTTATAACCAAAATTTCCCGAAGGAACCAAAAGTTCATAGCAGTGGTTGTCTATTTGTAAATTTGAGATTCACTTCGAGTTAGAAATTTTCGTAAATTGGAGGACTTTTATTGCCCATCACGAATTTCTTTAAAGGTTAACCTACTGCAGATGCAATGCTTCATCACAGAATTTTGGGAATCTTCAAGCAGCTTATCCGTGTTTCTCGAAGGACGTGTCGGTCTTCGTAGTCGCGACTGGCAAGTTCAACTCCAGTCTTACTACATATTCTTCGGCAGAGTTAGCTCTTTTGCTGCTAAAGAGGTGCTAAATTCTTCTTCTTTTGACAATAACGACCAGTTCTGACGTGGCTGACTCCACTGCTTATTAAAATAAAGCCCTTTTATTGTAAAGTCATACTGAGACGAAGGTAAAAGTGAGCCACCATCAGGCTTTTCTTATAATAGCAGATTTACTCCTATCATGCGACACGACTCGAACTTAAGTGGTAGATGGAACTAGCCGAAGTAACACGCCGCTCGACTGCTCGGCTTTCTATTTCTCCCTCGTCATCTCCTTCCTAAAACCATCCAATCGCTGCGTTCCTCAACAGAACGTCTTCAATCGGTGGAAAAACTGCACGAATTTCGCTCACTTATCCCACCGCAAACGGTTACTTGCTGCACACCATTCGGACCACCACTGCCACGGTCACCACTCTGCTCACTGCCATGACGGACCCTTCTCTGGCTTGTCTCTCTTTTCTCTCATATTTTCATATTATTTTGTCGAGCAATAATTCTCTCTCTTGCCTCGTGTCTCTTAATTTTTTGTTTCTGCCACCTTTATTGTTTCTATTCTAAAAACTTTGACATAAAACTATTGGAAATAAATATCGCCAAATTAATAGTCGTCAAAACGCAGCTAAAATCATGAAAAAAAAAAATTAATAGGGAATTGGCAATTTGCCAAGAAATTCCCTTCAGGATTCGGTTTTCGCCACTGCGAATGGTACACATTTCGTTGATTATTTATTTGTTATAATTGGTTTAAAATAAAAGGAAAGAAAAATTATTGCGGAGTCGGATTATTCGCCTTTTTATTTTTTTCGATTAAATTTGTTTTTCAAATCGAAGAAAATTAAAAGTTTAATAAAAATTTGAGATTAAAATGTGTCTCTTTCATTTGCTTTTCTTTTTTAAAAATTTTGAACTTTTCGGTTAAATAGTCAGCGGCGGCGTTTGCTTTTCGGGTAGCAAGTATAATTTGGCATTGGCGCATGGAATCGCGCAAAATTCGGACGCGCAATTGACGCGAATATGTAATTTTAGTTTGTCTCTCGACTAATTTCTCCCATGGTTTTATTTTATTTGACGATATTCTGCTGTTCAACAGCAGTAAGAGTCGACGAAGAGCATGAAGAATGGTCAACAAGCGATTTGCAACGAGTAAATCATTCGATAAATTGTAATATTGAGCGATACGATGCGAATTATTTAACGCAAAAAATCTTCGAAGAACGTTTCGCATATATTGAACCAGTTGTTATATTCAATATAAAAAATAATAAATTTTCTTATGAAACAAGAAAAAGAAATTTATTAAAAAACTGGAAAAATGCAGGAATAACACTGAATTCAGCGAATAGTTACTCATACAAACGTGTCGCAACGACGTTAAATGATTATGTAAATAAGGAAATGAAAGCACAGAAAATGGATAAATTGGGCAATGAAACGTTAATTTTATTTGGTGATATTGATGGTGAGATTTGGGGTGATTTACTAAACGATTACAATTTACCAAAATGGTTTTTACCGAATTATTTTCCGGCATTAAGCTTTGGCATTGCTGCTTCACGGACTGGGGTGCCGTTTCATTTCCACGGACCCGTTTTTGCTGAGGTAAAGCTTTTTTCTTTTATCTTCATTCATAGTTCACACGCATAGTTATCTTAAACGAAAAATTTGCCCAAGAAAATGGGACTTTGAGACGACACGACGACACCGTCAGGAAAGATTTATAAATATGATTTGTCGAACATATAGGTATGGATTTAGGTGTCGGAAAAAGGGATGGCTTTTATTTCAATCGGCGGTAGTATCGGGTCGAACAACTTACGGATGTGTCAGATGGAAGTGTCTTATGTCTACAGCCAGCGAAGCCGTTCTTATCAGTAATGATAAGAGCTATTATTAGAAGGGGAGAAATGAGCTGTAGAGAAGAGGCAGAGTGATATTGGGGTGATATCCTTAGTGATATCTTTCTATTCCTGAGTGACAGATCCAGTCCCAATAATCGATGAAAGAACGAAACCAAGAATAGTAAGAGCTGTCCAAAGAAGACAACGATAGTACAAAAGAATTGAATTGAACTGAAGAATTGATGACCCATAAAACAGTTATCAATTTGGTTTCTTCATCCATCTCATCGATCACCGCATTATTCCTCAGTAATAACTCCTCATATTCTATTTTCTCTATCTCTGTATTTCTCACTGGTTTATTCTGCTTTACCACAGTCTGTTTTTTCATGAATAAATGAGTCCGATACCGCTACGGATCCTCCTTGAACGTAATCATTTCGTCAGAGATTTAGTTGAGTTATATATGTAGGTGGCTCACTCACTACTAATCGGATTTGGCTAATAAGTTTATTTAATATGAAGAGGAAATACGATAATCCATCCTCGAAGATTTTGCATTTTGCTAATTTTGACGTTTAAAGTAATAAAAATATATTTGCTAATTAAATTAAAATAAAAAATTACTTTGTAGGTGATTCACGGTAGCAAATTATGGTTTCTTTATCCGTTCAATAATCGTCCAGAATTCGATCCGGACGAGTCGTCATTTAAATGGTTCATCGAAAAATATCCTGATCTGAAAGGAGATCAACGCCCATTGCAATGCTTGTTGCGTCCTGGCGAAATACTTTATATTCCAGATAAATGGTGGCATGCAACATTAAATGCGGAAACATCTGTTTTTATTAGTACTTTCCTCAGTCCTTCGTGAAATCGTCAAAATCATTCAATATTGTCGGTGAAGAAAGACAAAATAAGTTCTTTTTAACATAAAAATAAAATAAAAACAAATAGATTTTTATTTTAGGCTTATTTTGGACATTTTAAATTTTTATTAAATTTATTAAATATTATTGTGATAGCTGTTAGCATCTACCATCTCCATTTCTAGGTAGGTAATCGAGTATGGAAATTTCAGTCACTTGGTCATTAATATAAATGCGTCGCAAGTACTACTCAGATTAAATTATAGTAGATATTGTTGTTTTATATTACAATTTCATTAAATTATTAAGTAAATTATTTATTTATGTCTTTTCGATGTAATTTTTTTCAATGTAATGCTAATATTTTTGTTTATTTTTGATTTTTCTTTGTTGTTTTGTTATTTTTCTACCTTTTTTAATTTTCCCATTAAATTAAATTTAATTTAATTTTTCTTCTTTTTTTTGTATTTTTTGTGATGAATGGTATAAAGATTTCTTTTTACATTTCATGAGTGGTTTTTACTCATATTATCATTTCATGGTTTAGTGTATTTCGCGAATACCTTTCACGGTGGTGCTAGAAACCACTTTCATTATATGGCTCTGGCAAAACTGTCTAATCCTATAGCTAGCACACTAACCAAAAATAACCACTTATGAAGTTGTGTTTATTGCAATATATGAATATTACGTTGATTTTGTTCTTTTTTTGTTGGTTTACCCCATTTCTAGTTCGGTTGTTGACCACTGAGATCATTTTGCCAGAGATTTGTTTTAAAGGAGCGGTTTTTCTTCCTTGGATTATTATAAATGGTTTTTTTCAGTTTCAAAATATTTTGAATTTCTCGGCCCGATAATGGCATCTTTTCTTTCATTTGGACATTTTATTAAATTGTGATAGGAGTTAGCGCCTGCAATATTATTGAATAAATGAATTTAAAAAATATTGTTCTTTTTGCGAATTTATTGAATAAATTATTTAAATATATATAGAAATTTGCTTTCTTTTTGGTGTTCATTTGCCTTATTGTTATGGATATTTTAAATAATTTGCTATATTCTCAGACGATTATATTGATGTGTTTCAATATGATATCAAATCTAGTAAATAATTGCCAGACGGAATATTAATTATATCCGGTGTCAGCGTTTAAAATAGCTATAAATAGCTACGAACTCAGAATGAAGGAAGCAACTTGAAATCATTTTCGTAAAATATAACACACGTAATTTAAATTTTTTTCTCGTAACAGGACAGATACGGCGATATCGTTTCGGCCTTTCTACCTTATGTCTCATTTTTTAATGAGTAATTACCAGTTGAACGGACGCAGCACCGTATAGTTTCGTTTATGATGCTTTTAAGAGTATTTTCGTTATTTTTAATGAGATTTTTGGATGATTTTTTGAATTCTTTGGAACGAGATGAAAGTATCTATTATGATGGAATAATTCTTTTGAAATTGAATCTTTAGATGAGTTCAAGTCGGAATATCGCTTTAATTGATATGGATTGCTTTTACGCTCAGGTTGAACAACGACTGCAGCCGCATTTGTGGGGAAAACCAGTGGCAGTCGCGCAATATAGTGCTTATAAAGGTGGTGGGTATGTTTTTTTATTTAATTTTCGATGAAAATTGTTTGCATTGTGTGGCAAAGTTTGAGCAAAAACAATATATTCGCTGGCTTAGATTAAGAATACCATTTAAAATAAAAATAAAAAAAAACAGAGAACAAACAGCATGAAAATTTGTGATCGGGAGAGGAAATTTTATTATTTAAATTAAAAAAAGTTATTAGCGTTCGTGATGAAATAGTAATAATTTGATTGATGAAATATATTTAAAGTTTTATTCGACAGGATTCTAGCGGTTTCATATGAAGCAAGAAAGTTTGGCGTAAAACGAGGAATGTTTGGCGATCAAGCAAAAATTTTGTGTCCAGATTTGAACTTATGCTTGGTCCCTAATGGAGAACATTCTGATAAAGCCGATTTGACTAGATACAGGCAATTTTAAATTGTTTTATTCAAACTGATACATTTTCTATAATTAAATATTCGTATCTATTTGAAAAACATTTTTTTGTTTCTTCTGCCTTTTATTTGAAAATTAAATTATTAATTTTAAAAATTGGAATCGCTCAAAAAATAATTTTTAGGGAAGCATCTGGTGAAGTTTTTAAAGTACTTTCGGGATTTGACTCTCGAATCATAGTGGAGCGAGCTTCCATCGATGAAGCTTTTCTGGATCTTACTGATCTTGTCGACTATATCATTTCCGATGAAGATCCTGTGCAAAAGGTTTGCTGGAACTTAAAAATTTTGCTATTAATCAAAATATATCATAGGTAAATTATCATTCTCAATGCTACAAACATTTTATGCTTTTAAAAAAGTCGTGAAGATATGCAATAAAAAAGATGGTGAAAAAATGAATTATTTTGATGAATATGGGCAATTTTTTTTGATGTTGATGATTTTTGATTTTGCATATTTATTTGTGATCTGTGAAGAATGAAGTCTTTATTTCCTTGCTTTTTATAATCATTATTTTCAATCATTTCACTGATTTTTGATTGTGATTCTGTTTTTTCCTAGTGCATTCATTAGCAAAATATTATGTGAACTTTTTCAAATTTCGCATTACTACAATTAATTTTTTAGTACATGGCATCGTGCGATTCTTTTCCTTCTACATTTGTTGCCGATGGATCAGATATAAATTATGAAAATTCTACTACATGGAATTTTAACCGAGAAGAGTCGCTTAAATCATTTCTCAGGAAAGCTTGTGAACTCAAGGGAAGTATGGTCAGTTAATCGTTATAATTTAATATACCAAGCTTTATAAATGTCCTTTTCTTTATGTAAATTTTTCGATGTGTTTTTTTAACTTGCTTTTGTCTTTATTAGCGTTGCATTGAACTTACCTAATTCTCAAGCATTTAATAAATTGTGGGCAAAAAAAGTTTACTGAAACAGCTGTAAAAAAAAAAGTTAAAATGAAAGATATCAAGGATAAAAAAAGGCGAAATAGTGCAATCTAAAATATTGAAAAAATTTTTGATGATACAGAAATCTAAAGATTTTGCAGCTGAGGCTTGCAGTGGCAGCGGATTTAGTTGAGCAAATACGCAAACAAATCAAGGATGAAACCAAATTTCACTGTTCTGCTGGTATTGGAAGTAACAAGGTTACTTTTCTCTCCATGAAAGAATAATTCTAGTTGTAATTGTAAACATTGCGTAAAGTATGCTGAAGAAATGAATTGAATTGCTTATATGCAGATGATTGCGAAATTGGTATGTTCGCGACATAAGCCATGTCAACAAAGCATAATTGTTGATGGTGATATATCGACCATATTCCGATATACGCGAATTGATTCAGTCAGAAACTTAGGCGGCAAATTGGGTAGAGCTATTATGAAACATTTTGATATTGAGGTATTTTGAAATATAAATTTTTTTTTTATTTCTTGGTCGTTATCTGCTTTGGTACCTATTTCATTTTTATATTTATTTATTATCATTTTTTTTTGTTTTAGTGTTCAATTAACCCCTGCTGTGAAAAGTGAAACTTCATCGTGGCTCATTTTATATCTTCTTCAATGCATAGAAAGGGTATAGAAGATGAGGGGAAAAAAAGTGGAAAAAAAAGAGGATATAAAACGATAATTCTCTTTTTATTCCCATACGAAGTGTAATAAGATTATAGGGAAAATATTAATTACTAATAAAATATTAAAGTAACTACTTATGTAATTATAATACTTTTTAGGTTAATAGAAAATTGTTGAAAATTGATTGTAACTCTGGCTATTTACCTATTTTTGTGGGAATATTTTTTATTTTTTTGTAAAATCATTTAATATCTTTTTTTTTCAAATTCTTTTCTAACCTATTTTTTTCAAATTTTTCAAATTGTTTAGACAATGGATGAATTGTCTAAGCTACCTTTACAACAAATTAATAATGCGTTCCCTTCACAAGCCAAATGGATCTATGAAATATCACATGGTTAATCTCATGTTATGTAAAATTTGCAATTTTATCACTCCTTTTTCTATTTCAATTTACTTAAAACGAATTTAATTTTACTTATAACGAATTTTTATTTCTCTTCGTTTCTGATTGATGAATATTTCAAAATGTTTTTTATTTTTTATTAAATATTAATTTTTCTAACGAAAAACCTCACTTCCAGTTATTTTGAATTATTTTTACTATTTTAATTTTAAAAACAATGTTAATGTTAAAATTAAGGGATTGATGTGGAACCTGTACGTCCGCGAGAAAAGCAGACTTCAATTGCTGTTAGCAAGAATTTTCCTGGATCATCATCACTCTCTACAGTTAAGGATGTACAAGTGTGGCTTGAAGGATTAGTTCGAGAGCTCGTTAAAAGATTGGTTGAAGACCAAATAAAAGTATGATTTTTATTATTTTTTTTGAAATTAGCGTTTTATGCAGTTTCTTTTTTTAAAAATTTTAATGAAGGTGGTCAAGCCGTAGTACATCTTTAGTTGCAGAACAATAGAACAGCGAGCTCATTATATGTTGGATGTACTACTGATGCCCCATATGGAAAGACATGTCACATAGTATCGTACGATGTGGATAATATTATTAATTTATCTTGGAATATTATTCGTGCATACAATAAGTCAACCACGATAGATCTGTGGTAACTGTTTGCATTTTCTTTGATTGTTTCCAGTTATTTATTTTTTGTTCAACTTTGTTTAAAATTTTAATTTTTTTTTATTATTTGATGAGTTTCAGGGAACCATCCGTTTTCCACATAGGTATGTCGGCAAGTCGGTTCCGTAATGGCATAAGTGAATCATGTAAACGAATTACAGAATGGATTAACAAAGCAAAGAACCAATTGTTTATAGAATCATCCTGCTCCTTACAAATTTTGGATACTGAAACGTTTCAGGTTCTTAAAACTTTTTCGGTCATTCATGAAATAGTATTTTATGTTTAAGTTTAAAATTCTATAAGTAGTATATCCAAGCTAATAATAATAATAATGATAAACGAGGCCTTTTTTGGGCAATATGGAACATATCAAAACTAATTGTATAATAAAACATTGTCATAGGTCAATTGTCGCCATTATGTCACTATAGGTTTTCTATTTTCGCTATTTTATCGCTCGATTTGAACGACGGATTGATAATGCTTTATCCTTTTATAATGGTAATACTAATAATAATAGCAATAATAACAATGTTAATCAAATTTAAGAAATACGATATGCGCATATAAACTTGCGAATTAACGTCAGGTTCAGAAGTAAATTTAATTGTTCTTTGCATTATTTTTATATAAATTGCAGGAATCAAGTCGTGATTCTTTAGATTTTCCTTCTAATTCATGGGCTGGTGATATGTTGGAGAATGTTCAGCCCATATTCGAACCTCAGAAAAATGACTCACTAGAAAATATTGATTTGTCGTATGCAAGTGATTTGCTTCCCAGATCTTTTGATGAAATATCCGACGAAGCGTTAAATCATTTGCCTGAAGATATAAGAAAGGTTTTCTTTTATATTTTGAAATATTAGTGGTTCCTTTCTTATGGCATCGTCATTTATTTTTTTTTCTTCTAACGGCTCTCACCATTACTGGTTAGGCTGGTTCCAACGGTTACAAGGGTAAGACGCTTACAAGCATCGCTGTCTCATGCCATCGTCGGCAGTAATAGAAGCCATTTCTTTTTCTATCTTTTAAGTCCATATATTGTTGGCCTACCTATACGTTTAAAGTCTTTCCTGACCGTATAAGTCCAGGTCTTGATTGGCTTCGCTTTTGACGCCATCCATCACACAATTTAGTAAGTAGCGAAATATGCGACAACTCTTCTGGTGGGCGTCGGAGAACGTGCCCTAACCTGCGAAGGCCATTTGTAATGCTCTGTCATAACATAACATTATTAATGCAAGTGGTATTTGAACGAAGGTGGATGTGATCATATCATATCTTATCCGCTCCACGGACCCATAAAATGTACCTTAGACAAGAGTGATCAAAGGCAGTTAACTTCTTAATATCCTTCACTCTCATTGGCCACGTCTCAGAGCCATATAGCAAAATCGAATCACCGCTATATAGATGCGGACTTTCGTTTTTATAGTAATCTCACGAGATCTTCATAAAGGTTCCGTCTACCGGAAGAACGCATTACTATCTGCTCTGATCCTGGTTGTAATATCGTATTTTGCCTGGCCATTTGGTATTAGAGTGGACCCAAGGTATTTGAAATCAGGCACTTCCTCAACCGGCAATAAATTTATTTAAAAAAATTCATTTATTTAATTTATAAAAAAAAAATTGGTCATTTATTCTGTTTATCTATAGGAACTTTTACTGCATTATCGCCGAACACTGCCTAAGCAAACTATGAAGCAATCTTGTTCAAATCCTGAATCCTTGAGAAAGAAATATCACTCTCGACGAGCAACCGCAACTAGAAAATCTCTGAAAAAGCGACCAGGAAAAAAAACAATTGATATGCATAAAATTTCTGATTTTTTCTTTAAAAAATAGTTTTTATCGTATCTTATTGTTTCTAAATTTTTTTTATCGTTATTTTTTTAAAATTTTATTGTTTCAGGTTTTATTTTTGTTCAGGATCCTAATTTAATTTAATTTACTACCTGTTTTTTGAAGTTTTAATTAAGTTCGATTTCTAAGTTGAAAAAAGTATGTTTAGGTTGGGTTATAAAGTTGTTGTATTCTTTTTTTCTCATTTGTAGATATTTTCATTTTCGACAAAAGGTGATTTCTTTATAATAATTGGTTCGACTGAATAACATTCACCATTTCTTTTTTTGTATTTTGTACTTTTTTTTCTGAGAGCGATTAATTACTGGTTAGACTGGACCTGACAAATTTTTCCAGGGAGTCAAATGGCGACAGAAATGCAGGCGAGTCGCCAGCCTCATCGGGATTTTCGGTTTATTTTTGTCAATGTTTTTTGATTTCTTTCTCATGATTTTTTTCTACTTCGCTACTTTTTAAAGTTTTAATATTTTCTTTATTTTTATTGATATTTGTCGTATAATTTATAATGTTGTATCATTCATACATTTTAGTTTCATTTATATATATATATATTTCATATATATATTTTTATATATGAACATAAATATAAATATATATACATAAATATATTATTCATATATTTTTTATATTTGATTAATGCTTTTCAACTTTCACAATTTTTCAGCTATTGCTATTGTAAAATGAAATGATATACTGATAACAATCTCTTTCCATCAACTTCTTCCTAATTTATATTTTCAGTGAACATTTTTTTCCAAATTATGGAGAATTTTCAGTTTAATGGCTTTAAACAAATAGAATTACACATATATAGAATTAAAAGTAATATTAACAATGAATAAAATTCGTAGATGGAGTATGGGATCGATGATTTTTAAATTTCACGTGATTACGATATCATAAATTACAATTTGCATTCGAATAATTTAATGAAGACTGACTGCTTCCATCAAATTGTTGAGTATTTTGGATTTCTTAGAAAAATAAGCGATTATAGCTTATACCGCAAAATTGTTCTTTATATGTACGATATTCATTGTTGTCGGCAGCAGAACCAGCCTGACCCCCAATGGTGTGAGGTGTGGGAACAAAGTGATTGTTTCCATTAAAAAAATAAAGACTGACTGATTGTTCTAAATTTTATGGTCAGTCCTCATCAATCACACAGAGCATTTAGTGATATGATTTTTTGATAAGTAAGGTTGATTCTTGAGTGCAGTAAAACTTTTCAGCTTGCATGTATTGAACTATTTTTGTAGGAAAAATAAAAAAAACGAAAAATTAACATTAATTTAAACTAATTCGTATTTAGTTATCTCGCTTCTCGTTAGAATATTTTCATATCAAAATTTGTTATTTTGAAATTTACAGATGATTTGTTTGCTAGTTGAAGGTGGAATTTGTCTCGATTATAATATGCGATTAGTCTCGATTGTAATAGAAATGGAAAGCAGCGAAAAGACATCCACCGATCATCAAAACCAGAAGCACGAGAAACACGACACTAAAAACCATAACAATGAATAGAAACTCACAAATTAAAATTCCGTATGTTTAAACTGAAATTGAAAAGTATAGAATTGCTCCTAACTGTACTTTTGAAGGAGTAATGGATGTGAGATTTTTCGGTTCTGGGGGGGGGGGGGGGGGGGGAATTTTTCAGAATTTTTCATTGAGATGAATTGAACTGCAAACACTCAAATTATCAAGAATATGTGCCATTAACAGCAGTTGCTTTTTTTATTGACCTTTGACATTTGCATTTTTTGATTTAAATAACAAATCAAGCAAAAAATGTGAATATATAATAAATAATATAATAATAATATATATAATAAAATGAAAAATAAAATATTGAAACAAATTATGTAGAATAAATAAAAAGAAATGCTTATAATTTGATTTCTCAGGGTATTTTGCCTTTTGCTATGGCAAGAATGGTGATGCTTAAATCACTGCTTCTTCACTGCTTCAGCAGTGTGGTGACATTGATGCACTTTTTTTGATACCAATAGCATAACAATATCATTGAGGAACTTTGTTAGGCACTATTACAATCTTCAAGCCGATTAAGATGTGCCAAAATGCACTTTAGATTCTATTTGGATTAATGGTCAGTTTAGTAAATAAATGAAATTTTGGCTTTTCAAAGATTTTCGCTTATTTCGATATTTTCCTCTTAAATCGATCCACTTATGTTAGGCCCATCTTAAAATAAACATTGGCCATACGTTACTGGCCAGGAAATAAGGCAAATAAGATAGCGAAAATTTGAGATTCATTTCTATCATCCTATTTGATTGCCATTCTATCGCTATAAGGATAGATTAAAAAGTGACTGGACAAAAAGCACCGAATCAGAATAAACTGATTAAGGCCGATTTATCTACGATTTTCTGATTGCTCACGGTACCTTCGCTCCTTACAAGTAAGATCAAACGTCTTAAATACGATATTGTAGAAATAGAAATATTAACGATTTTCCAATCATTTTTCTCAATGGGAATTCTTAATGAATTATTTTCTAATCTTTCCTCTTTATAGTTCCCACTATTTATGTGGCACCGACCTTGAGGTTCACCTATCCCTCCCTTTATTCATCAAATGACTATTTGCCAAAAGGAATTTATAATCTTTATTGTTATTATATTTACAATCGGCGGATAAATGGCATGTGTTATTCGAATAATTACTGAACTTGTGACTGAAAAAAGGATTTAGTAAATCCACTACTTTGTGCTGTTAATCGGGGGGAGTTTGAAATTTCTAACTACCAATCGCAAAAGGCCAAAACTCTCTTATTTTTTATAAAAATACGAGCTTAAATCTCCTTTCAAGGTTGTTTATCTCTACGTTTGCGTCACCAGTATCGCTCGTCGATTCGATTTGTCGCATGCGATTTCAGGTTAGAAATCCAGGCTTTCTTGTTTCAGAATTTTCTTCGCCTTTCAAATATAAGTCGAATTTATAAAAAGAAAACTTACATAAACCACGTCTCGAAATGAAAACAGCATCGGAATGGATTATCGTCACAGCATGTATAAAAATGTAAAAATGATCCCGTGCCACAACTAAAACGAAAAGCACAAATCAGTTTTCTCATTTTACTTTCCTAGTTAATTGCTATATTGCTATACTTCATTAAAATGCGTCACCACTACACTACCACTTCTGCATGGTTGTTCCTAAGCAATCGGGGTTTCTAGTCGCTCTCTGTTCGTTGTCGCTAAGGTCGGTGTTGTGGCGTACTTATCTACCTCCGAGTGCTCTCCTTCGGTCTTTCGGCGAAAGGATTTCAAATTTCGACAATTTGCTCATTCAAATCAAATCAAAAATGGTATGTGCTGCAGCAAAAATACATTTGACGTGAACGCAAATTAAAGAAATTGCTAAAATTTTTCTTAAAATAAGCGTTTTTTAAAAGGCCTTTTGGGCATCTAAAAAAATTCGCTTCGAATTTTTCCTTCTTTTGTTTTCGAATTTTTACCTAAATTCGCCTAATAAATTGTACGAGTCAAATTTAGATTTCGTCAATTTCTTTGATTAATAAAAACTCGAAGAAATCCGTCTACGTTAATCGCCCACGATTTACGTTCATTTTAATTGCTGTATGCTTTTTGAGCTGTTTTACGCAACAATTCACCAGAATCTCCCCTTTTTTGCCATTAAAGAGGATTGTCTGTGAAAAACTTGATTTCATTTCCATCATTCTATTAAGTTTCAAAATAAATAAAATCGTCTGAAATAATATTCGGAATAATATGGATTATCAAAGCAATAAAAATCATCTTATTTTAATTTATCATTATAGAGGAGATTCGTCTAATCAATTATACAAGTCAGTAGTGATTGGAATTGCAAAGCAGTCGGTTTCTTCTCCAAATTGAATCTCACGAATGGACTTGTGAATGAAATCGCAGCAATAGGCGCGAGCACGGACTCTTTAGCCTAATTATTAAAAAATCGAATTTTCTCATAGAGCAAGCAGGCCGAGCGAATATGGTAATTTAATTCGAATGGTAGAAAAATGGTAACTATTCGGATGGTCCAAGTCCAAAACCAAATGGCTGAAGTCCGTAGAGATTAAATGGACATCGGATTATTGACGGTGTTGCGTGAATTCCACTGATGAATAGGTTTACAAAAATCGCTAGTAAATACATCTGTAATTTCGAATAATATACATTTTCAAAGCGATAACTATTATTATAAATTACATTGCATTATTAATATCGTTATTTTATTATTAATTAATTTTATTAATTAATTATTATCAAAATTTTACGACTATTTAATAGAATTTTCAAATAAAATAAAATGAAAAGATGGGAATTTGAAGAAATGTTTTCTTTGGCCTATGGAAATTTCCATGGGTTTCTTTTGCAAATCTCGTTGTTGTTTTGCGACAAATGCTTGACGATCGTTGTAAATTCCTTTTTATTAATATTAATTTCAATATGCAATCGCGATTTGCGGTTGAGAGCCGTCCGATGTTATGTGTTAACGGTTTTTAACTTTCTTCTGTTCAAACGATCTACTCTTATTCTTCTACTGACTCGCTTCACAAAAGAATCACTTGAAATGACGAAAATTATGCGAAAACGATCTATTAGAAAATAAAATTTAAAAAGTTGAGTTCGGTGAAAAAACGGATGGAAACTGAAATAACTGAAAGGATAGTTGGTCAGCGAATTAGCGATGACGAAAATGGGTGCTATGGTCGATGGATGAGGGGATGGCGTTTGGGGAACAATTTAATATTAAAATTAAAATTGATTAGTAAATTCGAGTGAACAACCGGATTTCCTGATTTTATTGTTACCTTCTCGCTGCTCTACTCACTGATGTGTGTCTCTGTTAAATCTCTCCTATTATCACTATCAACGCCATTATTAATTCGATATAATCATGCATTTATGCATATTTATTTTTTATTTATATTTATTTACAATCGTAAATTTTCATTTTCAAATTTCATTTTCACTAATTTGTTCATCGAAGCCTTTTCGTAGGTTCGCTTTTGCTAAAATAGTAATTCTGTCAAGTCTGCTAAAATATTTGCGTTTCGCGAGATGCGATTTCCAGAAAGCAATCATTGAAAGATTGTAAAATTGTCCATTTTCACTGCGAATTTTTCATCTCGGATCATTCATTATCTTACTTCTTGTGGGTGCGAACTACAAAAGCTTTCTTCTTATTCCACTCACAATTTGTGGTTTGGCTTGCTGAATTAGGCATAAGACTGGGATTCTTCCACCACCATAGATCCTTACTTCTATCGCCAAGGGACTCCCTGGCATATTTGTCCAATGCGACATGCGAGTGGAGCGAGTTTAACAATAATGGTGAGGACTCCTAAAAAATAGATCCTTATTTACTCTTTATTTCTGCGTGAATTTTGCGTGATTCTAAGAAATCGCTCGGTCTCTTCTTTATATGACTTTTTTCACATAGCTTTGTAGCTTATGCAAAGAATCCTGAGTTTTGCAAAATGCATAATGAAGAAAATTTGCACCACATTTTTGATCTCTGTTCAACTTACTACAACAGTCTTTCCTATTTAACATTTTCATTTTCTAATTCAGGATGATTGTTATAAATTTATGCCAATTTTTTCTTTTTTAGTGCCGAAAGTTCGAATTGTAATCATTTTGTAACCATTTTTTAAAATGATTCAGATATTATACCACACTGGTTGATAATCGAAATAATTCTCAAAAAATTCTACAACAAAAAGAATAAGAATAAGAGAGGCTGAGACGGAGGAGGACAGGTTGGTCGGGTCGAATGACACGTTCCTTCGATAAGGTCAGCCTACCATAGATTCGATTTCGCGACAGGACTAAACTTATCATTAGATAAAACCAGAGTGGTACTGATGGAGGCTGCACGGATAACTCATTTTTCCAATTGGCTCTTCGTCTCATTCTAATAATATTTGGTAGGATCTGGTAGCCAAACCAGCAATGCTGCTAGAAAGCAGAAATTCTTAAAATTCTTTGATACGATTAATTTATTTATTAATTTGTTAGATTTCTTTCGATTTATTAACTTTATTATCAGTTATCACGGATTAAAATTCATCAACAAATGATAACGAATTTCAGTGATTTTGGAAAATTCCCTCTTCTTTCAAATTTTTATTATTATTTTAGATTATCATTTGCTTATCAGAAAAATCTGAACAATATAAAGAAATAAATAATTTTGGCATTTTTACACTTTATGGACGATGTTTTTAGAAAATTGCATAAAAAAACTTTCCGGACGTCGTGAATGTCATTAATTAAATTAAAAGTGGTAAATAGTGGAAGCTTTATTCGATCTCGTAAAAGTTGGATTTGCAATGAATGTTAAAAGAAAGAGAGGTTTTAACTGAGCATATTTTCAGTGATTATGAATTTATATTTTGAATGTGGAGCAAGGATAACCGAATGGATACTAACTTCGTCTTTAGGTTAATGATTTGGCTTCAGCCGTCGACAAAGTCTCTCTCTGAAACCCGCGGGCTACTACTGAACACTTACCTGCATTTTTACACCGTTTGACTCGTCGCAGGCAAAATTCCTTCTTAAAAATTATTTTGAAAAATGATTGTTCTGACGAAGTTTTTTTAATTCGAATCCGTTAAACCTATTTCTTTCCTTAATTAAAATAACTAATTAATCAATTAAAATTCCGGTAACAAGTTCCTTCGGTTCTTCTAGCATTATTGATCTGACGTGTCAGTGCCACGTCACGAATGTTACGCCACGTCGCCTTTTATTCCGGTAACAAGTTCCTTCGGTTCTTCTAGCATTATTGATCTGACGTGTCAGTGCCACGTCACGAATGTTACGCCACGTCGCCTTTTATTCCGGTAACAAGTTCCTTCGGATCTTCTAGCATTATTGATCTGACGTGCCAGTGCCACGTCACGAATGTTACGCCACGTCGCCTTTTATTCTGGCAACAAGTTCCCTAGGTTCTTCTAGCATTACTGACCTGACATTCACTCGAACGATTCGTTTAAAAATTACCATTAAATTACAACTGAGTTTCGACTTTTAAAGGCATCTTTAAAGCTTCCTTTATTCTCAATTGCCTTAGCAAGCTAAATGAGTCATTTTTGCTCGATGATTATTTGCTCGTCTGTCCGCATACGACAAGTAGCTATATGGTTGTTATTGATGGAAGTGAAATTTTTGTGGGGTTTATAGTGATGTCGATGTAGTGGGTTTGGTAATTGAGAAATTTGGTAATGCAGAAGATGTCTGTCGTAATTGAAGAGAGAGGTCGGTGGTGCAGAAAGTTTAATGAGGGTGGTGCAATTTATTGCAATTCAAAGGCGGTGATTGTTAGTTTGGTACCTATTTAAATTTCCTGATTTTTGTTAGTGGTCACGAGGGGTCATTTCCTATTTTATTTCGTTCTATTCTTTATCTAATCGTTTGTAACAATAATAACTTATAGTTAGTAGTGGTAAAGCAATTGGTAGTGGTACTTGGGAATACGAAGTCAGAGGTCGATGCAAAAAAGAATGATCTGTTATAACATTGTTTAATATCACTCCTTTGTTTATTGTTGATAGCTAGTTTGTATTGCAGGTAACATTCTATTCACTTTGCTTGTTCATTAATAGATTATCTCGGTGGTTCACTACCACTGGACTATCACACTTGGCTTATCACCTGATCACTTTTTTATTAGAGCTTCATTTAGCCTATTGTCTCTTTTGAGTTATCAATCTGCCAGTTTAGTGCTCTTCTCTACTACCAGAGCGGGCTCGAAGAGAAATGCCTCGCCCCGATGCAATATTCTTTTAAACGCCTTTGCTATCGGACCATACTGAATTATCCATATCATTATCAATATTCTTTTTTATTCATATTTGCTCGGCGCCTTTCATCGGCCAGCGACCCTGTGGAATGCATCGTTTGTTTATCGTGATAGCTCTACCTACCATTTTGTCGCATTATGGTGTCTCACCATTAGCTTATAATTTTATTTTAGTTCATTCCCTTATGATCATATTTGCTTGTCACCTAATTAGTTTTAAATCAGTAGCTTTTTAGTGAGTCTTGTTAATATGCCAATTATTTTGTCGTCTTATCTACTTTATCATCTCTTCAAGTCATTTTAGCGCCAACCTTCCAGTTTAAACTTGAGTAGTTTGTCCACATGCCAGAGTTTTAATATTACCTTATCAACTCCTTAATAACAGTTTGCCAGTTTAATACCTTGTCATGGTCTTATCACTTGCACGTGCGAAAACGAATCGATTTAAATGTAATATTTCAGCGTACCATTAGCTTCGATGGGTCGTAGAAATAAAACAATTAATAAAACTGGTCAAGTTCATTTTGCGGAACAATCCATTCCGGCATCTTCATCTAATTTTTCCGCTAAACATAATGGAAATTCGATTGATAAAAATAAGTATGCTCTTATTTTTATTTGTGTTTTAATATATATATTTTATTCATGTTTTTATGTATTTTTATTTATTGTTTTTCTATTTATTCAAATTATTCATTATATTTATTTTTGTTTTGTGGATTTATATTTCTTTATTCTTATTTTCTTTATATTTTTTATAGTGTTTCATTTGTTTTTCTTATTGAATTAGGCAGATTGTTTTTTTTCTAATTTTTATAAGAATTTAATGCAACATTTAATAATTTCCAGTGATGACTATATGAAACCAGATGGAAGAGGATTAATTACGAGTCCATCAGTAAATACATTGAATCGTTTGGAACGAGCGAAAATTGTATTCTGGTTTCGACCATTACAAACAGCGCACTATGCATTTCGTGAAACTGTTTATCTTTTGAAACAGTTGTTTATTTAGTTAGCTTTTTGCTTTGAAATTTTTATTTTTAATAAATTTTTTCAATGCCATATTTTTTTAAACATATGATTTAATTTAATTTATTTACAGTATTTTGATATTACTGATTAGGCTGACTCCGCTGGCAACAAGAGTAAGACGTCTCCAAACGATTCGATCTGCTATCACTTACAGCAATAGAAGCCATTCCTTTTTTCCATCATTTAAGTCCATGTATCGCTGGTCCACCTATACGTTCAAAAATCTCCATTGATTCTCTCAGATCAGGTCTTAATTGGACCACCTCACTTTTGGCGCCATCTGTCACAACGTTTAGCTAGTAGCGAAAGACATGTCAACTCCTGTGGTGGGCGATGAAAAAGAACGTGCCTTAACCAGCGAAGATGGCGGTATATGGTGGTACTGTTGACTGTAGTGATATTTGAACGAAGGTGGATGCGATCATGTGAGATTTTATCCATTTTATCCACTCAGCGAACTCGTAAAATATTTCTTAGACATGAGTGGTCAAAAGGCAGATGACCTCTTAATATCCCTCATTATCATCGGCCATGTCTCTTGCAAGATCGAACGAATCGCGGTCATATAGACGCGAACTTCAGTTTTTATGGTGATCTCGCGACGGTTCCATAAAGGTTTCCTCAATTTCGTTATAACTCTCAGCAAAAGGACTACATCAGTGTATTCAAAATCTGTGATATTGTGCTTTGGATTGATTTGTACATTGCCGACAAGCCGATGTTCTTTATCCAGTTTTTATTTCAAAATGGTCTGTCAGTTCTATAGACCTGTGCCGATTTACGCTATGTACGATATGTTAAAAAAAATTTTATGAGGCGAATGTTCTCTGGAGCATCATCATATTCCATCATCCTCCAAAGTACTGCTCTATCAATTGAATAAAAACTAATCTAAATAAACTGTCGCCTAATCGAGCTATCGTGTTTATTTTCAAGGTCATATCGCTCCAATAGCGATTTCCGTCCCGCCGCAATTGTTGTAATTCTTCGAAGCATCAGATAGTCAAGATTTCGTGACATTCGTGCTTTGGAAGTCTTTTCAGATAGTTTGATTGCCGGAATATTCCTTTATTTGGGACCAGTATTCATCTGCCCTTCCAAAAATATCACTGAGGTTCAGTAATCCGATTTGAAATGCACTGTCTCCGAATCTTTTAGTTTGAAATATTCGAAAAATCTTGGGATTTTTTTGCTAGTTGTCAGTTTTATGGGAATCTTGGTTCGAAGCATAATATGATCTGATCCATGATGCTTACCATTTTCACGACCCAGATAAGAATGACTATCTAGGACTATCTAGAATGACAGCGTCGGCACTGATTAAAATAAAATTGAGATTGGATTGTTTATCCAGATAACTCCACGTAATTCTCTTTCGGCACTGGAAGAATGTGTCAGTGACAAAAATTCATGTTGTTCAGCAAAGTAAAGAAGGCGCTTTCCATTAGCGCATCGATCCCCGTTGCCATATTTGCCAATTACCGAGTTTTTTATGGTGGTATCGTGACCTATACGTGCATTCCAGTTTCCTCTGATTATTGCCTTGTCATTTTTCGGTAGATATTGAAGTCCTGCATAGAACTTATTTTTATCGCAATTATTTGCGCATAAAATTGGAATATACACACTGATGACCAAAATATTACGAAACTTTCTTTTGAAGTGCGCATTGGTCATACGGTCCTTTACTGGTTTCCATTCAGTGAGATTGCACTCAGCTTTTTCAAACATTCTCTATACCCTTGAATTAGCCGAAACAGCACAGTGACACAACCAGTATCTACTTGAAGCCATGTTTGGTAATTGTGAGTCCCGAGTGCGGATGTCCGATAAGCAGTCGACATCCACACGATATTTAGAAAGAGTGTGGACAATGACCGCTTGACTTACGACATCCATAAGTGCTCTGATGTTCCATACTGCTAATACCTCGTCGTGCGTGGAGAGAGCCGTTTCCTTTGGCAGGTTTCGAGCAGTCATCTTGGCTCGCGAGTAGATCATAGAGCCTTGAGGTCATTTGAGTCGAACGCCATGTCAGGAAAACCTGATCCTTTCACTATTTAAATAGCTACAGGTGGTTCCCTAGCAAGCACCCGGATTTTTGTTATCATGACAAGTTTACTTCTGTTAAGGACAAAGATAAAAAAATTGATAAAAATAAGCTAGAAAATAAAAAAAATTGTTTAATATGCATATATATTTTATAATAATTCATATAATTCATATAATTTAACTAGTCTAGTGCAATTTATTTTAATTTTTGTTTGAAAAAAAAATTTAAAAGTTCAAAAGAACTATTTTAAGTTCTTAGCTGATTTGTTATCAGAAATAATTCCCAAGTAAAACAAAATAAATCGAGAATAATTTCTTAAAACGACAGCTTGCCAACAAAAATTTTTGAAATTTCTCATATTTGGTTATTTTTCTTTTTTAATATTTTCATGGTTAACGTTTAACGTTTTATTAACGTTCTAATAAATTTTTATATTATTTATTTTATTATATATGTAATAAAATGATTCTTAGCGATTTTATTTTTAAAAATTTACTCATTAAAGTATTGTAATTGGTAACTGTATAATATATATAATATAATAAATAATATCTATATGCATATATATAAGAATATATTCTTATATATAATCTTATATAAAGAATATATTATATATTCTTTCTGAATCGTAAATGTTTTTATTTTGATTATTTGATTATTTATTTCTTTTCGATTTGGATTCTAGCTTATGGAGGAGAAAGCGGATTGTATTATCGTTGTTGCTTCTATGTATGTTGTTAATGTTGGTATACGTTATTCCTGGTCGTCACCAGAGTTATGTATTACTAATCGAAAAGCAGATTATGTTATGTTTTTATTGGTTAGGTCTCGGTGTTTTATCGTCAATTGGATTAGGCACGGGTTTACATACATTTATTCTTTATTTGGTAATTTTTTCCATAATTTCATCTAGACTTTTTATATGCAAACTTTTTATATGCAGTTTCCTATTTCTTTTTCAGGCTTAATAAGTCATAATTATTCTCTAAATATTTTTTTTGAGAAATTATTACTTAATTATTGATTTTCATAAGTATATTTTCCTGTTATCTTTTTGCATTTTTTTCAAATGCTTCAAATGTTTTATAGTTCATTCTTTTTTATTGAAAAAATAATGGATTAATCAAAAAATGTTAGGGACCACATATTGCTTCGGTAACAATGGCAGCTTATGAATGTAATTCGTTGGAATTTCCTAATCCACCCTATCCAGAGATGTATGTTTTGTTTTGAAGTCGTTTTTTCAGCTTGCCTAAATTTTCACTTTTTATGTATTCTTATAAATAAATTCTGTAGGCATTAATTTAAAATAATTCCCGATTTCATCTTTTATCAATATTCAGGATCATCTGTCCAAATGTTGAAGGTGTTGTAGGGAAAGCTGTAACTATCTGGGCGATAATGTCTAAGGTTTTTCTTCAAATTTTTTTTATTCGCAATATTTATCATTTTTTATTATTTATTTATATTTTTATTTATATTTATTTGCACTTTAGGTAAGATTTGAAGCTTTAATGTGGGGAGCAGGTACGGCGCTTGGTGAACTTCCTCCCTATTTTATGGCAAAGGCAGCAAGAATATCTGGTGAAGAGCCAGATGATGAAGAATATAGGTTAAGGATTTTAATTTTGTTGTATATGTTTTTGAGTTCGGCAGTTTATTATTTTTATTAATGCAGTGAAAAAATTTTTTTTCAAGATATGTATTTTCTGATAATTAATAATTCAATTAAATAAATTTTTTTTGCACAAGAAAAGGGGACTATGAAATATGATACATTATTTTCAATTGAAATATTTCTTTTGCATATATTTGTTTGAATTTTTTCGTGAATTTTTTTTATTATTTGCAGGGAATTTTTGGCCTTTATAAATCAGAATTCTCCTCATACACCTTCTTTTACTGATCGTTGCAAAATAACGATGGAAAAGATTGTCGCTAACCTTGGATTCATTGGAATACTTGTTTTTGCATCGGTGAGATTGATTTTTCTAAAAGCTGATGTTTTCAATGCGAATTGGTTCTTTCAACGTTTATTCAGTTGTGCATTTATTTAGTTATATTATTAATGGCTTTATATATTAACCAATTTTATTTATTTATTATTTTGTTTTATTGTGGATTTTATTATTTTATTATTTTATTATTGTAATAAAATTAAATTTATGCTTTATAAATTAATTTCATCGAAATTAGATTTAAAAAGTTGTAGTTGTCATCGCTTTGCTGATTATTGGCATTGGCAAAATCTTTTTATTAATTTACAGGTACCGAACCCTTTTTTTGATTTAGCAGGAATTACTTGCGGTCATTTTCTTGTGCCATTTTGGACATTTTTTGGAGCTACACTTATTGGAAAGGCAATTTTAAAGATGCATATACAGGTACGAAACATTTTTAAATTGAATATATTTTGACAAAAAAAAATATTTTTGCAAATATCGATAGAAATTCATTGATATTCAGCGATTAACTATCATAAATTTTCAAATTATTTGCATGTGGATAGTTTAGATGCTTCTCGTTGTTCTTGCATTCAGTGAGGGTTATGTCGAACTACTAATAAGTCATATGAAGTTGGTTTCTCATATTTTAATTATACTTTTAAATTATCAGGTCTTTAGAATGCAGTATTTAGAATATTTTTTAAGGTTTAAGGTTTTAACTTTGCAAACGTTTTTAATTATTATTTGTAGATTTATTGTTCATATTTGTAGAAAGATACCTTATGTAGGACTACGTCTTCAGTCCCCGCTGAAAGAATTTTTAACGCACCAAAAAATAAAATTACATAATCCAGACAGTTCGATGCAAATGGTAACTTTTTTTTTTTCTATTTAATAGCTCGTACCATTACTGCTGGCTCTACTGATTGTAAAAGTGGCGCATTTCCAAGCTTTTCGATTCATTGCCATATTAGAAAATAATAGAAGTCACTCTTTTTTCCCTTCAAAATCATAACTAAATCGTCTAAGCATTCAAAATCTTTTATCTTTTTTTCTCCGCACAATATTCCAAGTTCTTGGTAAGTGAATAAGGAATGGTCTCTAATCGATTAAGATGGCGATATTATTAACTGCTATATCCTTTTAAGTGAAAGGACTTTCCATTTTTATCTCTTTTTTTTTCGTTTTTTATTATTCATTAAATATTTTTAGAACAGTACGATGTTGCAAAAGATGTTGGCTTGTTTGGTAACAGGAATGATTTTGTGGTTTGCTATTTCAATTCTTAATTCTCTGGCACAAAGATGGCATAAGCGGCTATGTGATGAAAGGAAAAAGACAGACTGATTAGTGATTTCTTATCTTAGCTCATAAAACTTTTTTTTCATCTTATGTAGCTCTTAAAATTTTTCGTGTAATAAATGCTCTTTTGCAAAATAAATTTCGGTTTTATTGAGCTTTAAATCTATATTATATTATTCTCCCTTTAATTCACTTTTTTTATTATTATAGCTTATTATTTTTCTTATTAATTTTATTAAGATTTTAGATGTTTGGACGAGTTAAAATTTAATCTCATTTCATTGTTGAAAATAATTCATATTTATTTTTCATTTTAAAGAAATGAGTTATTATTATAATTATTTTATAATTATTTATTTTATTTATTGTCGAAAAATAGTCGCTTTTTTGGTTTGTATTTCAAATCAATTTTGATTCTCGGCCGAAAAGTTCAAAAGATCATTTTTTTATTGTTTTTTTGCAAGAATTTGCTTTCACGTTTTCCTATCAGCCTATCAGCTTTTTTTCTTCTTTTATTCTTCTTTTCGCGTTTTTCAAAAGATCAGCTATTAGGCCTTAATAATAATAATAACAATAGTAATGATAATAATAATAATGATAATAATAATAGTGGTAATAATAATACAGGTCTTCTTATCAAATTATTTGGTTTTACAATTTTTTCGGCTAACTGAAATATTTAATATTCTCAATTAATAAAGAAAAAGAAAATTTCTTATTTCATTTTTCCGATTTTAAATAAAAAATGAGTCTTTAAATAGAAGTCTTAATAGAATTCTCAAAAATATGATTCGAAAAATTTTGATGTTTTTCTTGTATCGCTAATTTTATTTTTGAAGCATCTAATAAATATGTGTAAAATTGGTATAGTATATAGTAGGAATGTTTTTTAATGTTTTTGAAGATCCATCAACGGTTCCATCCGCTGAAAATTTTTTTGTCAGCTGGTGGAATTTAGAATTATTGGTCTGTCTATGGTTAAGCAATTTTCGGAAAAATTCCATCCTCTGCAGTCAATTGTATTACAGTTTAATGCTAGAAAGGGTTTAAAAATAAATGCATGGAAAACAAAATGATAAAATTGTTTAACTGAGCGCTTTTTGCATTTAAATCATTCCATAGGTAATTCCACGGTGTTGCGATGTAAAAATTAACTTTCGAGAAAGGAAAGGGCGAGAAGCAAATAGTTAGCAAATAGTTAGAATTTTAATTTTAATAGAATTTTAATAGAATAATAGAATTTTAATAATCGAAAAAATATCGTTATTCAAAATCGTTCGTTATTAAATGGCGAGGAGAAACGAAAATCGAGCGAATAAAAGCATGTTTTAAATTACAAATTGTTTTCGGAGTTATCTAAAAAGAAAGGGATCCACAAAAAATCCAGGCAAAGTGAAGCGATGGAGCGGAAGATTTAAAACGACATTATTTTAATCACTTTGATTCCATAAAGCAAATCTGAAGTATGAGCGATCGCCATCATTACTGCGTTTTTGCCAGTGATTTACCAAAGAAGCAGCTAATCGCGTTTAATCCATTGTTTTAACTCATTAATCGTCTTTCCCAAAAATTTTTTCAATCATAAATTTTTATGGTTGTCATTCCGAAAAAATTTTTTCACAAAATAAATAATTTCAATATAAGTGGAATTCAATGATTTGTGAATGATTCTTTTAACCAAATCTTAAGCACATTCTTTTGAAAGAGTTTCTATTCTACGTAAATACGGAGAATTTTTGAAGAAGGCGTCATGCGAAATATGCGAAACAGCCTAAGTATTCATAATCGTCTACCGTATAGCTAAAGCGGAATTTAGAGACCTCCTTAAACCTATTTTTGAATTTTCCTACTGTCCGTCCTCCGCATTTAGTCGATATATTTGCTTCTTCTTAAAGTTTTATCTAAAGCTGCTTCTTCGGCAGTATTATTATTGCTATCGACGTCCAATTTCTTTCATTTCACTTCTTGATGAGCCCAGAAAATCGTGAAAATTTTTCTGGAATTTATGCTACAGGTATAATTTCCTTGTTAATACCATTGAAAATTTGCAACTGGCAGCTTGGAAAAATTCATTGTCCTTCATCTCGGCTGTGTATAACGGAATGGATGATGGTTCATATTATGCGGAGGAGCAAAGTTCATATCTTGCGCCTTGCAGGAACAAGCCTGTCATTTAAAAAATCCGGTTCTGGCCATTCTTCCAGCGACTCACTGACAAAATTTCTAACTGTACATGGCCAGTGGATCTCCTGGAAATGGCGCTAAGTTGATTTGAAAAGTTGATATTGTACATTAAACGTAAAATAAATTCTATCGGCCATGTGTAAATGGGAATAATTGTTGGTTACTTATCTGACTTATTTTTACTGGTCAGCTTAGATTACCTTTGTTTCTTCTGGGCATTTCTTCTGGGAATTAGTAATTTGGACAGAATATCATTACTGCCATTTAACACCACTCTTCATTTCTGTTTTCGTTGGCTCTCCTCACTAGGATGAAATTCAATCCAGACTCCACGGGCTAAGTTATTTTTATTCTTTGCTCTACAAATAATTTTCTAGATATTTTACCACAAAACACAAGCAATTGGCGACATACCGAGGGATTTCTGAAAGCGATCATAGAAATTTTACTGAAATACATTAAGGATGAAAATGATCGCTCAGAAAAAGTTCTGGATTTTCATCATCCATCTGACATGCAAACTCTTATTGACCTAACGATTCCCGATGATCCATTCGATCTTCAACATTTAATTGAAGTATATTTTTTATAACATTGCATCCAAACATCGATTATGTTCAAATATAACTTCAGAGATTAGGGAAACAATTTAACAGAGACAGGCAAATAAAACAGGTAACTGATGAGGTTTACCATTTCTACTCGAACCAATTCCGTTGGCTGTTAATGCATTTAGAAATTTAGCCAGCGAGTCATTTAGAAATATAAGTTAATTACCAAAACCACTCGATTTTCATTCAAATAATAATTAGTTTAGAAATGATAATTTGAAATTCAATAAAATTTTATAATTGGAAATATTTTGGACGTAATTGCGAAATTTATCCCCAAATTACCCCTGTGGGTAAATATTAAACAAATATTATTAAAATGATTGTGATATTTTTTTCTAAATTACTTTTTTAACTAAATGAACTTTTGATTGATTATGTTAATTTTTTTAAAAAATTCTTCACTCGATTTTTAATTTCGGCAATTTTAAATATTATTTTATAGAAATTTATCAAAGCATTGTAAGCGAGCATTTCGCACCTATCATTTCTGCTTATGATCATTCCATATACTGAGAAATTTTTGCCAAGCAATTAGAAGTACAGCTAAGTCTCTAGCTGAGTCTCTACGTACAGATTTATTCCTGCGAACCTCGATGCTTGAAATTTGCGAAAAACCCACTGCTAAATTAGAAACCTGAAAATGCCTGAAAATGCTTATAAGCCTGAAAATGTCAAGAAAACTATTATTGAAAGAATAGCAGTTCAACACATTTCTGAATTTCAAGTGTTTCCGATCGTTTCATCTTATGAAGCAATAATTCTTCATATAGTTTTATCATAAACTTTATATTTAGGCAATATTTATTCTTTATATTTAAATAGCTACATCGTTATTCTTCACTCCATTAATTCCTTCGCTGAGATTTTCCTTTCGATTAAATTGATGAAATCCTAAATCTTTATCAAAGTAATCAGTTCTATGTTCCATCTATTTAGTGCTCTGTATTTTCTAGAACCATGGAATCCAAATATTGCGATTCTTTTTCCGAATGACTTGTTTTGGTGCCTTATTCCACCTAATTATATTTACACCTGATTGTCTCAACTTGTTTTGGATTTTGATCAGCGATATTTCAGTGGATAAATGGATATTCTATAAATTTTAGTGTTCAAAGTTGAATTTATTTTGGAATAAGCTTTTCTGGTTAGGTTTATTTCACTGGCTTTTGGATGAGGTACTAGCATTAGAAGTCACTTGAGGACAGAAATGAAATTAAGCTCCCTGTACAATCTAGCTTTTTTGGTATGTATTTCCTTGTAGGGCACCGCTATGTTCTCATAATATTATTTTATTTCTTATCATTACAATATAAAATAATGATACATCCTGTTTGCTTAAAGGATTGTAAACGGGTATTACGTCTTGGTGTTCGAACAGGACATCCACGATTTTTTAACCAAATATCATGCGGACTTGATCTCGTATCAATGGCTGGCGAATGGCTTACAGCAACTGCGAATACAAATATTTAAGTTTTTTAGTCTTAAATAGAAACATTTTTTTTTGAAAAATCAATTTTAAAAAATTAGAATTTATTATTAAATCTAAGTTTTGACAAGAATTTGGAAAATCAAAACTTTCAAATTTAAAATTTGAGAACTATTTTGAAAAATTTTGATTTTTTTTCCCAAAGCTATTTTTAAATAAAAATTTTGATAAGATTTCCGGGGCGTCAGTGGTTCAGTGGTAGAATGCTCGCCTGCCACGCGGGCGGCCCGGGTTCGATTCCCGGCTGACGCAATACTTTTAATACCGAATCAATTGGTTCGAGCTGGGTTCGATATTGTACTGCTATATTGTATATATCGTTGTTTAGGAAGAGGATAGATGGAAAAGCATTTTAGGTTTACCTACGAAATTGCGCCAGTATACATTTTGATGGAAAAGGAAGTAATCAGTCGAATGGTATCAATAATTGGCTGGGAACACGGCGATGCCATCTTTGCTCCAGGTTTGTGTAGCCTTCTGCGAGTCTTCCAGGTTTCATTAAAAGAAAGGGTAAATTACAAAATCGATTGGGTTGGGAATGAAAAATCAACTGTTTTACATTTGAAATATTGAAATTTGAAATATTTAGAAATGATAAAAATTTTCCTTTTGTTATATCTGCATCTAGAAGAATCTAAATATGAGTGGAGAGGAATGGTAACAGCCAGCGGCGCTCGCCAGAAATGATAGGTGCTAAGCATTTACTTTCAATTTATTTGAGTATTAAGGTGGGGCGATTTCAAATTTATATGCAATGAATGCTGCCAGGCATTATCGCTTTCCACGTATCAAACCACTCGGACAATCCGATCAACCAACACTTTGCGTTTTCACTTCCGAAGATGTAAATCTTTCGTTTTTTATTCATTAATTTATTAAAAATAAAAGTAATAAATTCCATTTTTCTGTAATATAGAAAAATTTACTTGTCAACCATTTCTTCTTCTTCTAACAACTTTGTAATTTAGTGCAACTGAAACTACTAAAATGGGCCCTCTTCGCGAAGACCACTTGCAGATAACTTTAGAGGCCAACCGTTTAGCAATAATCGAATTTAAATAACGGAAAGAGTAAAAAATTTTCGCACGGAATAAATTTTTAGAGTCATTATTCTATCAAAAGTGCAGCAGCAGTTATGGGTATTGGTGCGGATAATTGCTTTAATATACAAACTGATCAGGCAGGTCGGATGATCCCCGAAGCATTGGAAGAGAAAATTATCCAGTGCAAGCAAGAGGGTTATTTCATTTAATCTTAAGAAATTTTGAGAAGGTTAGCAAAAATTGCAAGGTACACAATGCACGTTTTGTCATCACATTTTAGAAGGTTTGAAATTTATACTTTTTGCATTTGAAGCTTAGTATAAATTTGGCTGATTGCTAAAATTTGAGGTCTGATGCCATTTTTTGTATGCGCGACAGCTGGTACCACAGTCTATGGCGCATGGGATCCACTTCATAGCATTGCTGATATTTGTCAACGTCATAAACTATGGTTTCATGTAGACGTTAGTTTGCATTTTATCTTGAAACCTCTTTACTCGTTGTCACTGTTCGTTATTATTATAGATCCTTGAGATTCTCCTTCGAACAGACTCGCATCATTACTGTTTAGACTGGTTCCATTGACCATAAAGATAAAGTGTTTCAATCCTATATCATGCCTGAAATTAAAAGAATCCATTTCCATCGTTGAAATTTCGCATAGAATGTGCCACGGTCATTTGTCCACAACATAGGATCATGCTGATGATGGAGACGTTGCTGAATTTAATCGAATATTTGCCATAAAGGCTAACTGGCTATTAGATCGGATCGAGCTGTTTTAGACAATCGCTACTCCAAATTATCCCCGATTTATCCGAAACACTATATTGATATAGCCAGTACTTCCATCAAGAATTGCACGAGAAGTAAAGAGAAAGAAAACTTCTGACAAGAAGGCGAAGTCCATACAATATTTGGATATATTATGGAAGTATTTTATAAATTCTGATTTTCGACAAGTATCCTGAGGTTCCATTCCATACTGCCCCAGCCAGAACTCCGCTGCATGTATACAGAGCCGTTGGTCAGTTGTTCATCTCAATTAGCAGATCTCGAATAAGTTTCCTAATTCACTTTCTTCCCGAACCTAAGAATCATTTTGCCATTTCTTCATAATTGTTGCACATATAGCCAATCTAGGGATATCAAGTACATCAGAGGACTTGTACATATCAGCGTAACCAGACCCTTCCACCAGAGACTCTTTTAGATATAAATATAGGTTGATCTCCAGTACATATCTGAATTTTAGTTTTCTAACGGGTTTGTTCCCTTCAAAAGTAAGTAACCATAGATAGCAAGGTATAATTTAGAAATTGAGAAATAAATCATGCTTATTTTACAGCAAATAACCGCTAGCTGGCAAAAAAATTTTAAAATTCCTTGAAATTATAATATATAAATAGTCTTCAAAATATTTTATTATATTTTAAACGAATTCCAGGCAGCATGGGGTGGAGGATTGTTGTTATCACCTGAACATCGTCATCGACTTTCGGGAATAGAACGAGCTAAATCGGTGACATGGAATCCTCATAAGCTCATGGGTGCGCTATTACAATGCAGTGCATGTTTCATCAAGCAGGACGTAAGAAATCCCTTAATAATTCCATCGTTACCACTTAATATTGGCTCACATATTAACAATAACTTATAACTTACTAATAAACGATTAAAGTTTGCCAGATGAAAACAGTGGATTGACATTCAAATAAAGTAATGACATGTTAACCGAAATCCATTAACTTGGATTTATCGAGGTGAGAATTTCAGGGACTTCTTTTCCAAACAAATCAGATGTCGGCTGACTACCTTTTTCAACAAGATAAACCCTACGATGTAAGCTATGATACTGGCGATAAAGCGATGCAATGTGGCAGACATAATGATATATTTAAGCTATGGTTAATGTGGCGATCAAAAGTGATTTTTCCTTTGTAAGAAAGCAAAACTAAAATTGCTGTGCTAATTATTTTAGTTTAAAGTTTTTTCCTGTTGTTGATCTCGTATTGCCAATCGGATTTATAACTAATCGGATTTCATCACGATCACGAATTGTTTATTCATATCAAAAGAAAATGAAGCCATTCGACCGCAAGCAATCAAATACTATTCCATTAAATGTAGAAAAATAAGCAATTTTTTAGGGCATGGAAGGATATCGTACTCAAGTCAACCGACTTATGGATCTTGCTGCTTATTTCACTGCACAACTGAAGGCAACTGAGGGATTTGAATTGGTCATCGACCCAGTAATTTGTTTCTTTCTTTAAAAGTCGCGATTCTATTTATGGCCCGATTTCACTGCATCTAAAAATTTTATTGCAATTAGTTATGCTCTTTCTTTGAGATCGATCGTTTCTATTCTTACTGATTCCTTTAGCCACTAGAATATCCTTTTCGCCAGAGACACAAATGGGCATAAAAGTTGGTTCTCAACTCGAAATAAGATCTTCATCATATGGGAAAGAATAAAATAATTTCTAATTATAGCCGGAATTTCTCAATATTTGCTTCTGGTATATACCGCCGAGTTTGAGAACTTTGAATCCTGTTGAGAAAAAAGCTCGTCTAGAAAAGGTACAAAAATCGTTTGTCACCAGGATAATTTTAAAATTATATTATTCTCTCCTTCTGTTGGCTAAATTAACTTTGAAAAAGTTCTGGAGATACAAAGTATAATAAAATGGCCCATATATTTTCAGTGTTCAAAAAATGCAAAAAAATAATAATGTATTGTAATGTCGATAATAATAACAAAAATAAATAATAATGACAGTAATAAAAAATAAATAACAAATTAACGAACAAAAACTTTATAGATCGCACCAAAAATAAAAGCAAAAATGATGGAACGAGGAACAACAATGGTCGGTTATCAACCTGACAAACAGTTACCAAATTTCTTTAGAATGATTATCTCAAATCAAGCAATTACCAACGAAGATCTCGATTTCTTAATTAAAGAAATTATTGAAATTTCTAAAGATCTTTAAAGCGTGTAGTTTTTCGAAACAAGCTTTTTCTTGATGATTTAGCATTATTTCTTGTGATAAAATTTTTAGCGAAAGGCATTTTCCTTTTTTTAATGTGATTCTTTAATACTCAGCTTTAATTTACCGGAAGCGTCAAAATTTCTTCAATAAGTTGGGAGATTAATTCCGTTGAATCTATTTATTCGTAATCTAGCGATGTAGTGGTTCTCAAACTTTTTGTTCTTTTTGTTTCATTAAACTCCTGAAAATTATCAACCCATAGGAGCTTTTGCTTCTGTGGGTTACACCTTTTAATATTCATCGGATTAGAAATTAAAACTGAGAAGTTTTTCAATATATAACTATCACTATGTTGTTATTGATAAAATGGCTATGGTCGCATGCATCTTCCGAAAAGATATCGGGAAATGCTCAAATTCTAGAACCATTGCACTAAACGGATGAATATACTTTTAGTTCTTTCGTATTTCCTTGTTTTGTGGCAATTTTCAATGTTTTACGACTGTAATCATAGATGAATAAAGCGATTTATGCTTTTCACTTCTTTTCCAACTACTTGTGAGCGAATGGAATTCACAATTCATTCGTTAGTTATTTCTTGGCCATAATATCAGTTGATCTATTTAAATTATAATAAACTTAGACGGACTTGTTAAAATTCACATAAATCTCTCGTAGATAATAGAAAGAATTAAGTTTTAGATCATCAAGAAGGTAAAATCAGCATCCTTTCGACATTTATATACATATATCGCGATAAAATTTTCTTTTCACCTTTTGTGCCAAAAGTGATGTGCATTCTTTAAGAAATTCTTGGCCAAATTATCCTTCCAATTATCCTTAACTATCACTTAATATTATGCTTTACTTAATGTAATCGCTTAAAGTAGTAATAATGCTGTGATGCTGCTAACTCATTTGTACTCTCATTCTCAAATTATTTCCTGGAGAAAATTTCTCTTCGTAGCATGCAACTTACTTACTTACTTACTCACTTAAAATAGTAAATTATTACGTGGGATGGTGGTGCAAACAGTTTAGTTTAGATTACAACTCACAGTTATTTGTATCGTTTCTCAAATTAATGCTTATCGCTGATAAAAATTTTCAAATAACGAAGGGGAGAAAATGTTCTTTGTTCGCATAACAAATGAAATTCACCATCACCTTGAAATGTCTTCAATAAATATAAAGGTTTCCTTTTAAAAATTTAAATTTTTAAAAAAATTTCTAATTTCATTTTTTGCCATTTTGCCATATGTTCCTCTTTTTCTGTTAAGACGGTTAAAAAACCTATTTTAATGCAAATATTTAGAATTAACACAATTATTGTTATCGCTTTCCGATGAACGAATAAGGGGCAGAAAAACATAGTGGATTGTCATTCACATTTGGGAACGCGAGTGCTGGGAAGCTTTACAATCTTAAGTAATCCTATCCTTCGAAAATCCGAATGGAGTTGATAGCCTATCTGTATTTATACTGATACTGAAGTATATATTGAAGTAACTCGACAAATTTGTTTGGTCGGATATTTATCTACCAATGAATTGCGTATTATCGGATAAAAAGCAATTTTTTTAGAATTTTACAATATTTGTCCAATTCATGATAAATATTATTTATTAAATCTAAACAGCGAGGGACTGAATACAAAAAAAAATTTTTTTTATGAACTTCTTTAATTGAATATTTATTTATTCAAAAAAATCCAAAAAAAATGATAGAAATTATTTTAAATTACATAGGAGTGAGGAGCGAATTAAAATATTTGTCGTACTGGCCAATAAATTTTAATTCAAGAATGGAATGGTACTTTGCTAAGAATAACACTAAGACTGATATCAAGCATCACAGATTCGATTAGTGTATCTTAGCATTAAAAATGAAATCCTCGTTGTGGGATTGTATTCCGTGAGTTGTGTTAACCAAACCGGAGATAGTGACAGTTGACAGAAGAAGAATTCATATCAATTCGTAAAAAAAGGAATGATTATAAAAAATTCTGGGATTCTAGGAGAAATTCTCGAAATTAAAAATTGTTATTGTTATTGTAAAGTTGTTATTAAAAATTGTTAAAACCATTGAGAAAATGTTTAAAATAAAAAATATCTGATATAAAAAGTGCCTAAAACCACTTATCTGTCGCATGATTTTTTATAACAACGAAAAAAATTAAGAAACAAATTTGGTGAGAACCAAGTATCACAACATGGCAACCCAGGCCAAATTTTAAAGTATTTTCCACGAAAGATAAAAATTGCACTATTTATTCTAAAATTAATAATAATTGATATTGCAATGATTTTTTCCTCGGGGAAAAAGAATGAAAAAATTCAAAAAATGTACCATCAGAGAATGCGAAATTCGGCCTGTAGCGCAAATAATATCTGTCCATTTCACTAATTCAGAATAATTGTATAAATTTACTACGCTAAATTTTGTGCCAAAAGAATATATATTCATTATCATTTCCATCTTTTATGTCTAAAACAAGAATAGAAAGAAAATATGAAATTAACAATCTATTGCTCATTCGCCTAAAGGCAAGCGTTATTATTGGTTAGGCTCACTGATCTCACTGGCCATAGTGATAAGGCTTCTGATTAATCGACGTTTAGTGGAACGTTAAAAAAATTCGTTCAATATTCAATATTGAAGGCAAAAAGTTATCAATTCAATAGATGCAAGAAATGTTTTAAAAGATTCACTAAAAATATAAAATATAAATTGTAAAATATAAATTGGGAGAAAAACTACAATAATGTATTGAAATATAAAATAAAAAGTATAAATGATTGATAGGAGTGAATTCTTGCCGATTTACTTTGGATCGTTTTGCAGCAAAATCTTGAATTTCCATGAAGTAATTGAGAATGGCGTAATTTATGAAAATATTGACGGAACCTCGGCTTCAAGAATTTTCGCAACGTATCTTTATTCGACATTGACCACATTCTAATGATTCGTTGCGCGTTTTCAGGTAAATGATCATATGAACGACATCCTGCATATGCATTCATACCGACAAGGCTGCAGATTGGTTCCTTAATTCATATAAATGTTCTTCTTTCACAAAATTTTAGATTGTTCAATAAGATCGACGTTAAAATTAGAGAAGGCTTTGAAAGAAAACGAAAAATTAGGTAAGGTATGATGAAAAATAAAACGGCTTTTGCTTTGGTTTTTTTCGATAGTTTCAGAAATAGAATATTCAAAAACAAAAATTGTTATAGTGTAGAATTTCCGCGAAATTTTTTTGGATAATTTAACTAAAGCGACTTTTGCTTAATTCATCTAAATTCATGAGTAAAGCGAAGCGACTGTTAGTAGTTTGTCAAATAATAAAAAATCGAGGAATGAATTAAGAGAAAATTTTTTAAAATTAAAGCACTCTTTTTAAATCAAGTTAAATAAAAAATTAAAAGTGGGTGATCACTGGCGTACGGCTTCGAGCCAAGGCGAAGCATCATAAGCCCGAAATTTTTTTCGACCTCTAAGCGATTCTCTTGCAAAGTGGTTTTGTTGTAATAATCAGTGGCATCAAACCAGAAATAAAGACTAGAAGATTGCTTAAAATTTTAAATTTTCTATGAAAAAAAGTGTTTGGAATATTTTTTTTTTGCTAAGCACAAATCTTTTCTGATTCTGGCCAACATTCAACCTGCTGCTTGTCGGAGCAGACGCATTTTGCCAGGAAGTCACTTGGCGACGGCCTCATGCACGTCCTTGATTAGCTGTTTCAGCTGTTTCAGTATCAGCTGTTTAACTTAGAATTTTTTGAATGAGAAACAAAAGTAAGGTCCTATCTATGTTTTTTCAAGCAAAAATAGTAAATTATTCAAATTAAACAAAAGCTGAAATAAATTTACAGAATAATTCAGCGGCAATCAAATAATACCTTCTTTAGCTTTATAGTTTAGAATTTCGCAGAATCTATCGTTCAAATACTTAAGCCATGCAACGAATTCTTAGTAGGGAGGAATTCTGAAAAATGTGCTTTTATGGATTCGCGCTAAATTGCTTGTTTTTCCTCATTTCGAAAAATGATGTATTCACAAAATTGGCTTTATCCTTTAGTTATCACTGAATTATTTAGGGCTCAGTGGACTGGGACTCCAATTTTGATATCGGAGTTCTTATCCTCGCGAAATTTATCCCTATCTTATAAAAATCAGGTGACGCTGGCAAATCATCTATCTAAATGACTCTCTGGCAAAATTTGGCTGGTCCAATAAGACAGTGGGGCGAAACTGATCAGAAATGATGGAATAACAAAAAAATTCAATCAAGGACGGAAGTGCGGCCGAGTGTGCACTACTTAGAGTGAAGCATCACGGCTCGGCTCATATCTTTTGACTGCACTAAACCTGTTAGCCAAATCAGGCACATTGTACATCGTTGATGAAAAAGTCGCATCCCAATCGCTAGTGGACTAAGCAACAAAGCACCATCGGCACGATTCATGAGATTTGCAAAGCCCAAAAGCAGGAAACGATTTCTTATTCTTTATATTATTCTAAATTAAGAGTGACATAAAAATAGCGATATTGCAAAATGTTTGCTCCGTGTATTCATATTTTATCATTTGTTATATTATGCAAAAAACAATTAATCGCGCTTTTCCCATCATATTATTTGCTAGATTCTGTGAAAACTGGAAGAGTTAGATGACCTATAAGTGGTTTCTATTTAGAAAATTGTATTTGGTCGTTTTGATTTAGTGCATAATTTGGTGTACAATTATATACACAAGCCCTTGCTTGAATTGAACGAGGCAAGACAAGGCACTGAGACAATTAAAACTAAGTAAGTCGCAGTACCTTCAATTACGGGAATTATTCCGAATCGTAGTTCTTCCTTTATCTATTTTTTTATTTGTGAAATCACTAATTACTATTTTCAAAACATAACCAATTATTTTTTTTATCTCTAATACATCCACAAGCCTATGGCATTGTTCGCTGCCCTTCGTTGTTGCTTCCCTATATTTTATAATCTATTTATCGATTTTAATTATCGGAAAGTCTGTGGTGATTATGTTGCTTGCTAGAACACTAATAGTTATCATTCTAATTACTTGGATGATTAACCATAACTTTTCAAATTATCAAATTATATTTATAAATACAAGTATGTTTGCGCATAAAGTGGGGAGTCGAATGGCTCAGTGAGCTTAAATGCTCAATTCGGAGCGCTGACGTTCAGCCCCCTAGAGAGTAAATCCGGGTGATGCTGGCGACTCACCAACACTATTACCAGTTGACTCCTTGGCCTATTTGACCAGTGCCACAAGCCAACATAGCGAGTCTAACCGGAAATAGTGAGGGCTTTTAAAAAACAAATGGTCTACAAAAAGGATGGTGCTCCGCCACAAAAATTGAAATATTCATGATTCACTTCCTCTTTGCCAAAATATCATTCATTTACCAATTTTTCTTTGCTCATAATCTTAAATTTCTTTATTATCAGTTCCTAACTGATTTTCTCTAAATTTTATGGTTTTCTCACACTGCTTTGATAAATGATAAATTAAATGAAATAAGTGCGAATTTCCCAGCTGATTTCTTCTCGGGTAGATTGGCAAAAGAAGGAAAAAATCAGAAACAATTGTTAAACAATCGTTAGAAAATGCAGATGCTGATCCACCAGATACGAGAGTCGCGATTTTTCAATTTTACCCGGCGTATTTTTTTTAAGCTTATTTTAGATCATATTATATGATTCATGTATTATATTTTCATCTTTATTGCATTTATATCTTTTATTAAAGGAATGAAAAAGAATGAAATCAAGGAAGATATATTCGTACGGATTACGACTGACTCATGCTCATCCGCAAATCATACTTTTTTGAAAAAATTGGATTTATTGATTCAACTTCTAGACCTTCAGCCTTTACGATTTCTTCCAAGGCAACGAAAATATATTCAAAAAAATTTATCCGGCCAGTAATGGAAACAACAAATAAGAATATTCTAAATAAAACTAACAAAACAAATCTCACTTTGTACTATTTCGTAATAATAGTCACTATATTTTAAAATTTTCGTTATTAAATTATTAACATTATTAAGAACATTATTAAATTATGGAATTGAAGATAAAAAAGCCTGATGATCTAAAGGCTTGAAGGCTTGTCAGGAAACTTTAACGAATTTTTGGCAAAATCGCATTGGTTCGCATTGCAAGTTGAGAAGTCCACTGCTAAAAACTTTTTTCTTCTTATAGCACTTACCATTTCTAGTTTGGTTAACCTTCTTGCTACTAGTATTAAATGCTTTTGCCGCTTGAGGATAGAAAATTCAAGGAGGTGCGTGAAAAATCGAATCTATGATGCTTTTATCTTAGTCGAAGCAATACACGGCCATATGGTTCGCAACTCAGATCCATGCTGAAAAAAGTGAACTAACAAGATACATAAAGATAATACCCAATGGAGTCAACAAAATAGCCAATGCGATTGATCTAAATGACTTTATATGATACTTTGTTTTATTTTTAACAAATTTCGCCTTATGTTTTTTTAAATTTTGATAAACAATAATAATTTTGATAATTTTGATTGCAATAAAAAAACTAATGAAAAAAAGAAAAATGCCAAACATTGAAAAAACAATTGCTTAAAATAATTTGAAACATATAAAAGCCAAGCATATGGAATAGGCGTATTCTATTGGAAAGTACTTCGAATAAATTATCCTTCGTTTGTGCTTCTGACTGAATTCTGTCCGACTTATCTATCCATCAATCTTCTTAAATTAAATCGCTTTGTAGGCTCAACGTACTCGAAATTGTAAATTTGATAATTCAGCAAAGAAAAGTAACGTCGATTTTACTCGAATATATGGATTTTGTATTTTATTTTACTTAGTTATTTTTAAATTGTGGTCGTCGAAATTATTTCTGCCAACATAGCCGATGAAAATTTGATAACTATGGGGAACAGTGACTTTGCAGTAATAGATATTATGCTTAACAATAACATTATAGCAGCCTATAGCCTTTTATAATTTGGCTAGCTCCTTTAATTACAAAAATGAAAGTCCTTCGCCATAGAGTCACCTGAAGGAAAAATCATGCAGCCGCAACTTAAAAAGAATTTGCATGGAATTATTATTGAGTGGCAGAGACTATTTTTCTTTAAATTAAAAAGTTGAAAAAATTTCTTTCGAAAAACACGAAGGAAAATTGCAGCAAACATCAAAATAATGATAGATGAACGAGAAAATACGAAAATAGTTATTTTATAAATTTATGAAAATTAAAAGTTTATTTATGTATTAAAGGAGGATCATTAATTAAATGAATTAAGTCAAGAGATTGCAGTTTAAAAATATACGAATTACTATTACTATCTTCTACTCGATAACATCAGCCGATAGTCATTTATCAATCAGTTGAAACAAAAAGAAAAAAATTTGATAGCCAGTTTTTTAGTTGCTCAATAAACTTAGGTTTTAGCATATAATTAAAACATGGATTTGACTACGGACGTTTCTTAATGGAATTTGCCTTGCTCTAGTCGGCAGTGGAACCAGTCAAACTAATGATGATATGAAGTAATAGGAAGATGATGAAATTTGAAAAGCAAACTTGATCAGTCTTCATATTTCAAGGGTTATAGAACAGCAGATATAAACCTGCTTCGTCATCTTCTTCGTATTGCTGCTTGTTCTCCCAAAATGATAGGCTCTAACTGATCAAACGTCTTTGCACTACTGCTTGCACTTTGCTACAACACTACATTCATTTCCTTTTGGTATAGCTATTCTATTCTACTTCTATTCTACTTCTTGTATTATGTGTTTAATATACTAGAAATTTTTTCATTCTTGAATTTGATGGGACAGACACGAAAAAAAAAATTTTGCAACTATAAAAATATAGAAATGATAAATAAGTTGAAGTTGAAGAAGATGTAAGATCCAAACGAGGAAAATATAGAATAGAATATAGGACAGAGGAAATTAAAGGGAAAATTTTCACGGTAGCAAATGAAGTTTAGCGAATTACCTGTACACATTGACAGCTTTTAGACGTACGATCAAGTTTTAAATAACTATCCCAAAATCGAAGATATCTGCCTTCACAAGTGCCTTGACATGAATATGGATTACAATCACCAGGAATTGCAGTTTGACATGACTTAATTTCGTAGGAAATCGGTTCAAACGCATTGTTCAAACGCAAATATCCAGAAAAATACTGAAAAATTAAGAACAGCCGTGCAATATTCTCAAACATTACCAACTGACTCGCATCAATTTATATTCACAATAAATTTTTTAAAAAATTGCTTTCTATGACAATAGAAACCGCCTTAAACTGTGATTTTATTATTGAGTTATTACTGCTTTGTAGTACCATTAAAATTTCTATAACGCATTACTAAAAATCTTCAATACAAATGCAAACGCTAGAATTATTAAATTTGAAAAGATAACCATAATCTTTTCAAAATTGTATAACAGATGCATTAATCCACTTGGACTGATGCTCTCCGCCTGATGTGTAAAAGTTCTGTGAAATAAGATGAGCTGATGAGCTTTCCACTAGTGGAATGTAGGAACCAGGAATCATAAATAAATTTCTACCAATTCTGCCACTCAACTTCTGCAACAACAACGATTTTTCATTGCACTCTGCACATGGTAGCGACAACATATAAGAGAAGAGAAATTTGAAACTTTTATTAGAAAGATCCAGATTTTATTAGAAAATCAGTGATAAAGATCATTAGGTATTTGTTATTAAAAGAGTGCAGTAAAGCTGGAATCCGTTGATTTTGAGTCATAATTCCACAGAGAAAGTCCATGCATCCCCACACCTCAAACTGTTGAAGTAGACCTATGATACAAAGCTTAGATGAGGAGAAAATCTAAATACAATAAAAACCGTTGTTGTTTTCCATGATATGAGCAATGTTGCATTTTTTCACGGTGCGTAGATTTTTCTATAAACAGAAAAATCTTTTTTTATCGGTCATTCGCAATATTCAATGGTTATCTATTTTCCATTATACCAGACATGGACATATAGTTGTTTTATAGTTATAAAGGATATTATTAGAATAGTTTATGATTAATGTAAAATTTTAATTGTTTAGGCAAAATGAATAATTATTTAATTATTTAGGCAAAATGAATAAACAGTTCGCGCTCATCATTTTTGGGTAATGTCTGGTGACAGAAATGATAATCTGGCTTGCGAGTGAATCGCAACCCGATTTCCCGGATTTTTTATGATAAGATTGGCTCTATCGGGACAGAAAGTAGAATCTACGATGCTCAAGGCGAACCACTGCAATGATGCAATACCCGATCACCCCTCCCCACTATTTATAATTTAATCTTTTGATAAAAAAATGTTTTACATATTTTTCATGGAAATTTGCGAATATATTTTGAGAATTTTAAGAGACATCAGCTGAATATAAGTTGAAGAACTATTGATCTAAACGAATTTTGTAGTTCATACTTATTCATACTTCAGCAATACTATATGTGTAAAATATATGAAGACAGTTATTGGTTGAACTGATAATATAGCCTGCAGATAATTTTCATTTATTTTTATTTATGATTTCTTATGGTTTTATTTTATGCAGTTAAATTACGCAACTAGCAATGTCGTCAATGAATTTATTTCTCCTCGAATCTGCTTAATTAAACCGAGGAATTATAAAATAACATAAAGCGATTAATAATAAAATGATTGTTAATATAAAGAACAAGAAAAGGAACGAAGTGTTATTGTTCTTAACAAATTATCAGTTGATAGCTAAATAAAACTAGAAAATTGAAAATAAAATTATATATTATGTGAGACCAGGCCACTCACATAAGCAATAAAAATGAATTAATGAGGGTTTGGGATGTGTGTATAATTCTTTTGCTGAAGCCAAGAGGATGGCTATAAGAATAATTGTAAGAGGAATTAGATCACGAAATTTAAACATTTTGATATTGCGAAAAGCCCAAACTGATTGAGAAAAAAATAGGAATGCCTTTTTAAGGCAGAAGTAATAAACAAATATGTATAATTTGAGCATAGATTATTTGTAATCAAGTAATAATTTGAATGGAATTCATGAACTTTCGTTACATTGGTTTTCACGTGGTTGAATAATTATTAAGATGAATGATTGATGAGACGAAAAAAGTAACTTACTTGACATGGTTCCTGGCAGGGTTTATCTCACTTTTTCTTATAATATTGCTCTAATTTTTTTCACATCCTAATTGAATCATCCGCTTAACCGGAAAAAATGGAGGTGGCTCATTGATATGATTGAGGGAAAGCGTCATCATTGAGCTTTTGCATCACTCAGATTCAACCGATGCGAATCATTAGCAAAATGTTACGACGAATTTACTAATATTGAAATTATTATTCCAACGTTCCAACGTTATAAAGTGAAAATGAGAAATTAATTAATTTTTTGGGATAATGAAGTCGAAGGATTTTTCGAGCAGAAACTTTTAAGTATTTTATATAGAGAAAAGATCGAACGAAGATTTTAAGATGAATAATGGAAATCCAACAAAAGTTTCAACAAAAAGCTAAAGAAATTTTTTTGACTAAAGCAATCAAAATTACTGAAATCAAAATTTTAAAACTGACTTCACTGCACAACCATTTTAATCCATTTTGTTATCTTAAAAACTGTCTGTGGCATACTTCGCCGCGGACCACTCAATAAACGAACAAATGACCAATGAAGGTGAAAGATTGAGGGTTTCGAGACAAATTTCTTCCTCTGAGAGAGGGACTAATTTTATGCAAATCCACTCCTAAACCACTCTTTGACTCTTACTTCTCATTCCATAAAATAGAAAGGATAGTCGCAATAATCAGTTCTTTAGACATTATTGGTACATAGTAACTATTGCTTTACACTCTATTAATTATTACTTGACTAATTTCCACTTTATTAGATCCAAATTCAGTCGAAATCTCAATCCAATATTAATAGTTATTCTGATTTCAACTATCTATCAAAACTCTTTTCTAACATTCCGAATATTCATCCTTCATATTTTATTATTAAAATATATAATTTTGAATTAATAATTTATTACCAATTTTGATATAATTCTTTAGTTTTTTTATAATTTTTAATCGAATAAACCTATTGACATAATAATAATGATAAGAATAATAATAATAAACCAACTGCAATAATTTCTACAGGTAGAATAGATGAATTAAAATTTTAAATATTTATTTTTGTTTGCATCATTGTTGTCATTTTTTACTCCTATTTTTGACACCATCTCTATCATATATTAAAATATAATGAGGCAATCTGAAATATCAAAAAATTTTCACATAAAATTTCGATCTCATTAACTTTTTAAGCTTTTATGGCTACCATATGTACAAGCATCCTTATGCTTTCCTATCTATCATTTTTTTCTTAAAAACCGAATTCGAAAATTCATTTCAGTTTTCCCCAAGGTGCTGCACATGTACTTCGTGTTAATAGCCAGTGGAAGCAGCCACACCAGAAATCGTGAATGCTATTTGAAGAACAAAAAGCGATTTTGCAATTTCAGTATTTCCACTGGCATAAGTTGGAGTGCTACTATACTGAACAAATCAAAAGAGCATAATCAAGCTCTACTGAGCACTGTCGCCAAAATGAGCAGCCTTCTTTTAAGAAAATTGTTAATATCAAAAAATTGTGAATGAATTAGGAACACTCATATTCAAATAATGATAATAATGATAAAACAAAATACAAAATAACATAAATTAGAGGAAAGATTATTCTGATTCAAAATAAAATTATTATCATAACATTTAAAAAAATCAAATCACTTTAATAGGAATTTTATCAAGTAAAGATCCTTTATAACAGTTACATAACAGTTAATCGAAATAAATACCATTACAATTATAATTCTATTCTTTCTATTCTCGTGAGCGGTTGTGTTAGTCATTCTCTCTGTTTTTCATTATTTAATTGTATTGTGCTTTGCCTTTAAGAAAAACGAGCATTAGGTCGATTCCCACTTTTCTAAAATCCCCTAAGAAAAGTGACAAGCAGTTTTATAATAAATATCAATTAACCAAATTGCCAAATGACCTCTCTGCATATAAAGAAAGCTTAAAAAGTTTCCGTAGCGCCATTCATAATTACTTTTCAAATAAAGAAGAACAACTTTTAAATATTGATAGAAATTCTTTCTGGACCTATATCAAAAGAAAATTTGCAAATCCACGTAAACAATTAATTCTGCAACATAATGATAATGTGATCACCTCTGATATTGATATTGCAAATGTATTTAATCAGAATTTTTCTGTGTTCATTGGGGATAATACTCATACTTTCTGTTTTAACGTAAATCGAATTTGTTGCACTTCTCTCTGCGAGGTTTAAATGATGCCTTAAATAGATTTAAGCCGTCCATTTCAGCTGGTCCCGATAACATTCCACAAATAATTTATAAAAAATGCGCAGTCTCTCTGAGTCTTCCCCTATTTTTAATTTATAAAGATATTATGAAACCTGGCCTTAATCCCAAAATTTGGAAATTGTCCCATATAATTCCCATTCATAAAAAAGGAAGCACCTATGACGCTTCTAATTACAGACCTATTAGCTTAACATGTGTTGGTAGCAAGGTACTTGAAAGGTTGATTCGCAACAAATTGCTTATCTTGATACCAATAATTTTATATCTTCTTATCAGCATGGCTTTTGCACAAAAAAATCTACTTCTTCACAAATATTGGCAAATTTCTCTGATTGGTCAGCATCAATTAACAATGGAAAAATAGTATCAGTTGTGTACCTAGATTTGGCTAAGGCTTTTGATACTGTTTCCCATAGCAAATTATTGGTCACTCTTAATAGTTATGGCATAACAGGGGACCTCTATAACTGGGTTTCAGATTGCATAAAAGATCGTTACCAGGCTGTATAT